TTCCTCTACCTAAAAATAAAAAAACCTGCTTGCCACTCAAATCTATATAGGTTCTGGAATGAGCGAACTTCGTGACGAAAAGAGGCAGAAAAGAAAGAAGTAAACTAAGTTAAATTCCTCAGTTAAGAGAAGGAATAAACGGTGTTTCGGCGGAATATTCTAAAAGTTGAAAAAATGCGACATATTGCCAAATTGCAGTTGATTTTCAAAAATATGAAATTAATTTTGAATATTTTCCCAAGAGGTATTTTTCTCTTGAAGTTCAAGCCATTCATATGGCTTAAGACGTTGCACAAAAGATAAATCTTAGTTATAATTTCATCAATTATTTTTTGAAATTTTTAATGTACTATATCCGAGATCCTAAGTCTCATTTTCTTCAGTTTTAGAACGAAAAGGCGTTCCAAAAATTTAGTATGTATTTGGTTTGATTTGTGTGATGATGGCAAAGCCTCGAGTGCTGCCTAAGAAGAGGACTTTCTAAGGGAAACTGTCTTGTGTACACGTTACGCATGGGGAAAACCACGAAAACGCTCATGCAGCATGCCCTTTCGCGGAATTCGGACCTCGGACCGAACTACCAGTGTTCAGCGGCTTTAGCGCTCGGCCGCTGGTGGGCCTTTAACACGGATTTACCAACGTACTTAATGAGGTACGACAAATCTCTATTAGAAATAATTTTCTTTTATATAAAATGTCTGAAATATTCTGTGTCTCAATTTCTGGCTGGTATTTAATCTGACCACTCAAATTCTTTTTCATACATGATCGAACTGCAAAATCTTTGATTACTTACTAGTGAATTGCAGTTAAATTTTGCCAATGGCTTATTTGCGCACATACTAATAATTGCTAGAGACCTGAAAGGTTTTCTATACATAAATATACATCATTAGAACTAAATACTGTTTAATTTTTGAAATTTAAAACTGGAAAGTTCTCGAAGGATATATTAAAATTTTTATGCAGTCGTATTTTTTTAGTTGTTCTCCTTTTTGTTAGCAAGTTCTTCTCTCAACTCAAATGTTTTTTTAACGTCTCTTATAAATTATAGTAGCCGTGCATTATGATCTAGGAAAAATATTAAGAATTTAAAGTTCCTTCGCATTTTCTACGAACAGAGTTACTGTTAATTAAACTTTCTTTATTCAGCGAATATCTTACCAAAAAAAAAAAAAAATATTTGAAAATTTACGAACTGAAAGAAATTTCGAAATTTGTATGAAAGCACCTTTTACCCGAAGAAAATAATATTAGTTTGAGGATTATATAAAATAGAATTTCAGAGAAAAAATATCGAATTTCATGAAGAGAGATACTAGCTTGATATAATCATGTCAATTGTATGCATTTAAGAAAAATTAGTAATTTTTGTATCACACACGATTGTCATAAATTTAATAAATTATGTGTTAAGTAGAAATGAATGTAGTTTTTATTGTTCAATAAAAATTATTCGTCCGGTACGCATAATTCGCATATGTACATCGGTATGGCAACCGAAGGATGGGCTTCTATAAAGCACCAATGGACTTCTATTTGTTGTTTTGGCCACACGACCTTTGCCAAATTGAAAGCAAGATGGTACCAAATATTTTGTTACCCAGTTTTCCTCTATAAAATCATTAAAAATTCTTGGATTTCTTGTGAAAATTTCCAGTGCGAAATCGGGTCAAATATAAGTAATAGTAAAGATATCACTATATGATTGAAAAAAAAAATTTAAAGGAATATGAATAACCTGCTGGATACAGAGAAATAAAATGTAAACAGCAGCTTAATTATGCGTCCAGTATACCCCCCCCCATTTAACAATGTATCTAAAAACATTTATCTTGAGTGCCGTTTCAGTCTAGGAATGATTATTACATAACTTTTAAGTATTAATGTACAGCTACTGGTGTAGAGACATCAGGATATTTTTGGAAGCAGGAAAGATGAAAAATAGCAACCGCCTTCGCCGGGAATCGAACCACGGACCTCTGGAATACCGGCCCAGCGTGCAGAACCGCTACACCACGAAGGCACGCTAGGAAAGAAGGACAGATACCTTTATATACTCCTTTTTTAAAGGGCGACTGGGGTTTTTAGGGGACCCAATCGCCAAATCCTTGACGCGGAAAAACCTCATCCAACACCCTTTTAGTTCAGGCGCCACTGTAGAGACATTAGGATATTTTTGGAAGCAGGAAAGATGAAAAATAGCAACCAGCGTGCAGAACCACTACACCAAGAAGGCACGCTAGGAAAACGGGAGTTGAAACCTTATACTGGTAAAGGATGTTTTTAGTTATTTTTATCAAAACAATTTTTAAACTCATAGCTAAGTGTTTTTACTTCCTGCAAAAAAAAAAAAAAAAAAAAAAAAAAAAAGGCATTTGTAAATAAATAAATAAAATATTCTTCTAGCCCATAAAGAACTAAGAAATAACAATAATATTTACACTTTCATCAAATACTTGTTATATGCAGTATCCGACAAAAGTACAGCCTTTTCCTTTAAGAACTAGTAATCTGCTCCAAGTCTTTTATTACACTCATGTCTATAAATTAAGGATAATGCCAGCTTCGGCAAATAAAGGGCTCAGAAACAAAACAAACGTGACTTAATTTATAAAGCCCATTTATTAAACAAAAGATAAAGAACAAAAAAGATGATGTATGTATGATACCATTCATAAAATCTACGATTTTTGTTCCCGGGAGCAATTAACAAAATATATCTCCCTTACAAAAACTGAACATTACATGGTTGATATGGTAGTTAATAAATTACATGCCTGCAAGACGATGAAATGCAGTCCGTAAAACGCCTAAGCATGCTGAGCATCAAATTATAGAGCTGATCTCGGGGAAGATTACTCAACAAGCAATGCCTAGGAGGTGCTTGATGGAATGCAATTTGTCGGCTGAGCATGCTGTATCGGATATAAGACAGATGAGAATGCTAGCCGTTCCATACGGGTGAAACGGTTCCAAACGAGCAATCCTGCCGTAACGGTGTCGTTCAATGATGTTGTCTTAGTGGTAGCGGGTACATAGAGTTCTCCATATGAATGTCCGACGGGAATCAGACTGAAAGCTAAACTTGGACTCGCCGGAAAACATCACACATGCCCACTGTGACGATTTAAACATTGCATGTTCTCTACTCCAGGCTAACCGCTGGCGACCGTGAGTTGCCGTAAGCAGAACATATCTAACACGCCTGCGAGCATATAGACCAGTCTGTCCCAAACGTCTGTACACGATTTGCCTGGAAACTGTAGTCCCCGTGGCTGAAGATAGCTGACGAGACAGATCTGATGCTGTGCTCCGTCTGCTTCTTTTGGCAGTTACTGCCAAATACCGGTCGTGATTTCGTGCTGTAACTCGTGGGCGACTTGTACTATAACGTCTGCTGACATTTATATAATTTTGGAATCGTTGCCAAATACTAGAGACGACACTTTGGGCTATTCCAAGTTCTTCGGATAATTTTATCTGAGTACACCCACATTCCAAGCTGCCGATAATTCTACCATGTAAAAAATTATGCGCACGCGTCCTCTGTGCCATAACTATTCGGTTGTGGCACCGAACGCCTTACAGAACGCTTATGAAAAATTTTAGTTTTCTCCTATCATTCCTTACATACACTTCTCTTACACTCTCGTCATTGTGACGTACTGTAGGCGTCATCTGATGGCTTCCTCTAATTTGCATATTATTCTTGAAGATGTGTACGATAATTCTACAGGTGAAAGTTTTACTTTAGAGTTCGATTTCCGTGTTATTCTGAGTTATCCTAAATTTACAGACATGGGCGTAAATATATAATCATAACTGCACATTTCTTACGGAACATCATAAACATATAATAATAAAGTATATCATACGATATTTTAGAAGAAATGTTCAAAACTCTTATCATATCTAGTGACTACACTACTTAAAAGGTGACATTTCTCTTACCGAACGCTGCATTTATTTGAAATATGTGTCTGTGTATCAAAAATATTTAATGTTTTTTACTAGTAAGTAGCAAATTAAGTTCAAAACATAGAAATATGTGAATAAATACTTCAATGTAAAATAAAATAAAAACACATTGCTCACATGTGGTTTTGCATTATTCCCAATTTTTTTCCTTAATGACGGGCTCTAGCCGTTTATAGCGTTGGCCACTACTAAAGCCAGTAACGGTGGTCTCTTTATTATGCAGGCATGTAATAGGCACACTACCGTTGCCTCCTATGAATGGGCGGACAAATTAAATCCATTCCTTCTCCGTGGTTCGACCCCAGGCCTTTTGGTACGGCAGTCAGACTCACTAACCACTTTCCTGTCTGAACAGCGCTATTCCCCCTTAGAGCTATTTTATATTCACAAGACTTCTAATTTGAAGAACATGTCGGAGATTGATATTTAACAAATTATAGTCTGTTGGCATCTTCCTTTAAACCCTCTGTCAGAAATAAATAAGGTGAATTCGTCTATATTCATTATTTATAAATTACTCAAATCAGAAGAGGAAGGCACAAAAAACTTCTTCTTTTTGTTTTTCAACTCAATATTATTTAATTTTATCAGTCGAGATAGAAAGAAGATCATTTCATTTAAAATGAAATGTATGAATTGAAAAAATTAGGATTTCCTTTCAAACTTAGATTCCCTCATAATATATTAATGAGTGCAATATGGCTCCTTTAGACTAACAGGAAATAATTTGACAGCGATTGTTGACAATTCCTTCCCTCCCCCTTTTTTATACATTCGAAACAAATTCTTTAGAATAGCTGAAACATATCATTTATTCCTGACGTTGATGAGAAGGAAGTTATTGCACATATATTTTGCTTTCAAGTATTACATAATTCATTATTTTGTGATCAACATTACACAAATAATTCAAAGGCAGGATTAAAAATAAAGATATGACTATATGAAAGATGAAATTGAGATTAATAGTATACTTCTTTGCATATTTATTTGCCTCTTTCTAATTTTTTTTCCTGTAGTTGGTCTGTTTAGCGAGCTGGGATTATCCCCCTTAACGTCCGTGAATCATTGTCGAACTCCTGACGGACTTCCAGGAGAATGTGGAGAAATAAGCAGGTGTCTCTATCTTTTATTCGACGTAGTTCGATTGCGAAGATCTGTCTGCTTCAGAAACCTGTTTATGGTAGGAATATGCTGCCCTGGTTTTTCGGTAAGATGCATTTAACATATACTGGTGTTTATTTCTTGTTTATTTGTTATCTTTTTTTTTTTTTTTTTTTTTTGCTCAGCCGGAAGCTAAAATGCATTGTAAGTTGGTGAAAGTAACAGGAAAAGTGTAGCAACTCATTTGAAACGCACCAATTAGTTTAATGAAGCCTGCAGGAGGATGTAACTATTTCCCGAGGTATCAATTTAGAATATCAAAAAAGAATACCGTTTTATTGTAGAATTGTGGAATAGGAAATGTAGAATATAGTTAAGTATTTTTGAAGGCTATAAAAACATTTACCGATTATGCGATTATCTTATACTTGATGGAAAGTATGATGAAATTGCTTACTTTCGTTAGTGCAATGTGGATTTGAATCGAGTTCATGCTTAAGCTTCTCATAAAATACAAGTTACAAAATCCTTATAAGAAATAGACTAAGCTAGTAGGCGGGGCATACGCTTCCCACAGAAAGGAGAAGTTCTCACAATAAACTTAACTATAAAATTGAAATATATGGCATTTACATTACGTAACTGTTTTAAATTTTTTAAACCGGATATTTCATGAATCCCAGGATTTGAAATTCATAGTTTTAGTACATATCATTTAATATATCTCATAAAATCCTTTTACACTATTCTTTGTGTATTTGTTTAGTTGCAATTCTTGTTTTTGTATAAATATCTCTACTTTGTTAAAGCAACGGAAATATTTATACTTAAAAATTATATTATTCTAAAAATTTGGTGTTTAAAAAATTTGGATCTTAATGATGACATTATATGGATCTTAATAATAACATTAAAAATGGAAAAAAATTATTTGGAATTGCTGTCGTGAAAAGGATTTTTCTTTCAAAATTTACTGAGTAAAAGTTCTTCTGAAATGAATGCCTAGAAAAAAGTTTAGGTGTAGCAATCATATAAAATGCCATTTCATATTTCATTTAAATTCCTGCTACTTCGATTGTTCTACAGAGAGGAATAGCTGAAAATTTTCTTAGAGATTTATTTTTAAATATGCATATTATTTATAATTTTTTTTTTGTATATTTGTATATTTCCTTGCAAATAAATTCTGATACTACAGGAATGGGCATTAAAAATTACTTCAAATCTTACCAGAGCTTACTAAAGAAATTTTTAAAAGTATTCCATTAATGAATTATATATCTCAAATACACCCATTTTTCAAATTTTACCTACAAGGAAAGCATTAAACATGTGTATTTTACAAGGATTTCAGGCTATTTGTACAATTAGTAACTTAATGGTAATTAGTATTTAAAATAGTAGCAATAAAAATGTGAAGCATTTGTTTTGAAATGATTAATCAAGGAATTTTTTTGTATTTGCAGGCCTTTTAAAATATGTATATGTGGTACGAATCTGAAGCTTTGCACATCGTTATTCAGAAACAAAATAGTATTTTCTTATTTAGGAAGAAATTCATTTTAAAGCACATTTTGGTGGGTATTAAATTTAATGAAAAACGAACTCTTTCAAAACATTTTGAGATGGATTTTTGTTAATCCGGTGAGTCTTTAAATTAATGAAGGGATTATGGACTCATTCTTTATTAAAGGCCAGAAGCGAATTTACGGGGTTCAAGTGTCCCCCAAATCATTATTTAATTAAAAAAAATTAGCAAACATACACTGTCTGAAAAGGCCTACAAAAGTTTAGATGAAGCGAGATCCTTAGAAAGTTACCGAGTTCTGAGAAAACTAATTGCAACCTATGTTACCTGTCTAGAAGAGAAATACGCTAATATGACAATCAAAATCGTAAAAACAACCTTGTATTTAGCGTAGGTATAATGAAACACTCAATCGATTTCGAGGATTTTGTGCAGTGCTGATAAGGACCACGTGTTTCTGTGACTCCTTCTCCTTTATTTTCTTCTTTCTAGGTATTTCTTTCTCCTGATGAGGAGGGACCTTTAGCTGCCCTTGAAATCGATTGAGTGTTTCATTATACCTACGCTAAATACAATGTTGTTTTTACGATTTTGACTATGTTACCTATTTTTAATGTCACAATAACATGAATTTAAAATACTAAATATATATATATATATATATTATATGTTCAAGGAAATATAAAATGTAAAATATACATTATGCCTATATAATTTAATGAAATGTCTAGAAAGAAAACGCAGGGGATGCTATGTTAAATGTTATTATTTTATTGAAGAAGAGCAAAGAATAAATAGGATGGATTTAACTATTTTACATCCACTGTGCAGTATAGTAGACAGCAGCAAATACTTTTATTGGATTCATCTAATTTTCAAGACAGTCAGCAGTAATACTTTGGATTTCATTCCACTAAATACATTCACAAAGCATGAAGGGGATATCCCTTTTCAATCAGGCAACGCCATGTGCTTAATAGTGGCTGATTTTAAGAGTAGCCAGAAGAAAGAATGAAAAGAATTATGAAAAGAATGATAGACCCAAAGAAATTTAGTTTGATAAGGTTTCATAGAAAAGTGATAGACAATATGAGGAAAGCTTTTGACATTATTTAACTCAAAAAAATAACTATGTCATCTTTAATCTCAAGGAACATGATATGAAATAAAATATTTCACTTTAACAAATGCCACCAGATTAAATGAAAAATGACAATTAATAGAAATAAAATAAAAATATCACTAATAGTTTTATGATGTGAACGCAATTTTTGTGGAGGAAATTGCATATCCTGCCTCAGAAATTATTTCCATTACACTCCATTGCTCAATAATCAAGCATTTTCTTAAAACTATAGAATATATAAAAGAAAATCTAAAAGTGTTTTTACATTAATACTGAGGTACATAAATTTTCAAGATCGTAGAAATTTGTACGTATAATATTGTGATAAATCATGTTGATAGTTGTTTTACATTTAACGACAACTATAATTTTAAATGTATTATATGAATGTATGTGTATGAATATACTTAATATAACTTTATTTTTTTTACCTTTTTTTCTTTGCAAAAAGTCCACAACGACAGTACTACCCGAAACAAATACGACCGTTCAGTTGGAAGTGACAACAGAGGCAACTACGGTTACTACTGAAATTGAATCAACGACAGAAAAAGTAACTGAACGGCCAAGATTGACTATAGCTCCTCTTAAAAGGTTTCATCATAAATCCACTAAAAGACCGTTAACCACAACCACCACGGAAGAAGCAACAACACTCGGTCCTCCGTCAACAACAGCAAGGACGATAGAAATATTCACGACAACAGCAAAGCCAACGGAAGCTCCGTACATTTTAGCAACTGAAGCTTCATCTCAAAATATTACCTATGCGTCAGCTTTAAGTAAGTCTTAAACCTAAAATTTTGTTTTGAAATGCAGTTAATTTATCCATGATGCAACGTGGTACAATTCAAGCAGAAAGAATGTTTAATAATTTTGAAGTAAGTTACTAGTTTTGAAAGTTTCCCTCCTTCACCTTTCCGACTTAACATAAAAAAATTAAGATACAATAATCTGTGTTGAACGTAACCGCTTCCTCTACGAAAACGCCAATAGTAAAGGCTTAAAAATTTTTATGTACAGTTTCCAAGCATAATAATAGCATCTTTCGCTTACACATTTTCAGAATTATAAAGTAATTGATCACCATCTACAGATAGCAATTCAGAATCCATGCTGTCATCATTGTACACTCATGCTAAAAAAATAAGTAACAAAGAGAAAACACGGAATAAAACAAAAACTATTTAATGCATATGCTCGAAATTGATCCAAGAGGTTGGTGTGGCATTACTAGACCATACAGCAAACAATAAAGCAACGACATACAAAAACACATGTGTTATGACCATCACACTGCGAAAGACCAAATGAATCGTAAGAATGTGCAATGGAAACATCACGCTAATAAGGGATATGATACTCTCTATCTGAAATGTATGCTTAACATCGGCGAGGCAAGCTGGCAATACTTTTTTGATCGCTTGTTGTGGCACTAGCGCCCATTCCTGTAGTAATGTATGTCAGATCTCGTAGAGAGTACCTGGCGGCGCACTGCGACCTGATATCCATCGTCCCAACATGCCCTACACATGTTCTATGAGATTCAGGTCCAGTGTACTAGCAGGCCATGGCAGATGTAGAATGGTTTCACTCTCCAGATAACTCTGCACCACTTGAGCTCTATGGGGGCAGACGTTATCGTCCATAAATATCGCACTACTCATTGCAGCAATAAAAGTACACACAGGATGGTGGAATTTTGTCGCGATATTGGATTTCTGTGACGAAACCACCAGGAATCACGTAGAGGGAAGTGCTGCTATCCATTCAAGTAAGCCTCCTCCTTTGTAATGGTCTCTTAGGATGAAGTTTGAAGCCTGATAGCGTGTCCTTGGCTCTCGCCATATCACTGTACTCTGGGAATCATTCTGGATGTTAAATTGAGACTCATCCGTACGTAACCGCATTGTTCTGGTGTCTAGATCCATGTCTTCTATACAAGGGTTTTGATCCCTTTGGTAACAATTGATTCCACAGCCTATTGATTACACTAGAATGTACAGTCAGCTCTCTCACAACAGCAGATTCTCTTGCACCAGCTTGCAACATCCCGACAGCCCTCAAACGCATTTCATGGTGCAAATGGAGTCTTCTGTTCATGCTTTCCGCTTTGACTATCTAGGATTACACGGAACTATCGCTGCTTGCGAACTGACGCATAGGTCCAGCGTGCCCCTTTTTAACTTGAAAACTCTCTACTTCAACTGTAAAGTTTTACTATTTAGGATCCATTTCCATATAAACCCATTTTCGTTTAAAGGTATTGTACGTAAGTGAAAATAGGGAAGTAAAAACTCATGAAAACTATAAAAATATATCTTAGATTTAATTGAAAGTAATGACGTGGTACAAACTTACTGCAAGTTCCTTAATGGTACTTTCGCTTTTCGAAGCCACTCAACTCAACATTTACAAAGCACTGAAAAACATTCCATAAATTAAAACAAAAAACGGATTTTATTAACCATACCTTTAACCTTTCAGCAGTGCTGATGCCATGATATTTAAATAAAGCATGCTTTTATCAGCGCTTGTTGAGTTGAGTTTCCTTTCACTTAACCTTTCTCAATTTAAAATGTTTCCTTTCTCAATTTAAAATGTGCCTCCTGGTTTGAATACTCTTTAATTTGGTTTAGAGATTTCCTTAAAAATAAAAACTGCTATGTTAATTAGTTAAAAAAGTCTGCCTTTGCATCTCTTAGGAACCATGAATCTGTGAATCTCAAAATTCTTAACTTTGTAAGGTTTATGCTGATTAACCTATTGTCTTATTATTTGATCTATAGTATCATGTCTATCTTTCGTAGACGTTTACCAGAATGCAAATTAGATGCGTGTATATAACAACGTCATTCTTAAATTTTGGAAAGAGAGCTTTGGCAACATGCTGTTGCGCTATTTCCTCACTCAGCTCTGTATTTCGTTAGACAGGAGTTAAATCTTTTAATAGCCAAATTAGCTTAGAATTGCGCCAGCGATTGTTAGGCTTTTGCATTTGCGAATATCTAGCCTTAAATTACTTTGAATTAATTAGATTAATTTGTAAGCGCAAGCCGTGCATTTGTTAAGTTTAAAATTTTAAACAAAAAGCTTTGTATATACCTTCTTCTGAGTTAGAGCTGATTTAAGAGACGGGACGGTTATTTTCCTGACAGTCTCACTAGGGATTAAGTCATATTTAATTAAAATGTGGTAGCCTACAACTTGAACAGTATTAGTTTAATGCTGTTATTTAATTTTGTATTCTACAAACAAGGATAGCTCTAGAAATGCTTCAGTAATGTATAAATTCTATATAATTTATAATTACAAATGCACACATATCCTATGCGATTTTAATAGTATCTTTCTTTAAATCTGCGCTTTAATGCAAAAATATTGCTATAAATACGAGTGTAATAGAGATAGTAACAACTTAGCATCAGGAACTATTTTTAACTTCAAAAACGTTGCAGCTGAGTCCAATATTCGTATGTAAAATATTTCTTATCTTAGATGAGGCAGATTTTAAATCACTGCTGCTAGGCATAAAACCTTATTTAAATCTCTTTTTACTGAATAACAAGAATTTCTGACAGTTGCCATAGAAGCTTTGGAAAACAGGTAGTTATTTAAACTTTACATTTGGCCTGTGTTTAATTTTTTTTTAATGCAAGATGTTTCAGAAAGAAGAAATAATTTTAACTTGCTTGAAAAATATTTACTTCTCTTATTAAAGAAATGTGTTAAACATGACCTGGGAAAAAATATAAGAGTTTGTAGAGACATTAGGATTTTTGGAAGCAGGCAAGATGAAAAATGAGCAAGGCCTTCACCGGGAATCGAACCATGGACCTCTGGAATACGTGCCCAGCGTGCAGACCGCCACACTACGAAGGCATGCCAAGATGGTAGGAGAAATACCTTATATACTCCTCCTTTTAAAGGGCGACTGTGGTTTTTAGGGTACCTAATGGCTAAATACTGGGTGTGGAGGACCATCATCGAACACCCTTTTTTAGTTCGGGCGCCTCTGTAGAGACATAAGGATTTTCTGGAAGCAAGCAAGATGAAAAATGTGGGTCAATACCTCCCTGTGGTTAAGAAGAGTCTTTCTGCAAAACTTTATATCAGCACCCCCTTCTATATAATAGAACATTAAAATCATAATTTCAAGAAATTTTTATTTATTAAATATATAACTGTAAAATACATATGTATGTGTACATAAGAACAGAACATCTAAACAGATTCAATTATCTTATTATAAAGAGCTAATATATTTTGAATTTTGGTTATATGATGCCATTTATTTCATGTTCATCGTCCTAGTTTTAACCGCCACAAAATTCTTAATTAAATAAGTTATATGTAAAGTATCCATAACATCCTTTTTTATTCATATAATTGATGAATCGGTAAACTTCGAACGATATTTTTGAAGCTTTGAAAAAGTGATTTTTGCATAGAAGACCCAGATATATGCAGCTTTTAAAATGTACACTATAAGAGCAGCCTCTGAAAATGTATCAGCAAATTATCCTCTATATATGTTTTAGAATGTACGCAAAAAATTAAATTATTCGGTGGTTAATAAAATTCATTAAAAAGTAAAGAACTGTAATATCTTCAGCTATCATAGCATTCTTATTTTCTGTATCTAAAAAATAAATTGCAGAGATACTAGCAATAAAAATTTTTAATTCAAAATTATAAAAGAGAAATATAAATAGATAGAAAATAATCATTGATAAATATGCCTTTTCTGTGTTACTATTTCTATTGTTTCTTAAAATTCTGTTGATATCTTAGGTGCATGACTCTTTGAAACGAAACATGGATAAAAAAAAGTATTTTTAACTTTATAATTACAACTTAATCCAAATCATGTTATTTAAAAGTTCTTTCTATTTTTTTATTTTATTCTATACCTTTTAGTGCGCAGAAGGAAGAAAATTAATAAAAAAGATGTTATCTCTGAGCAAAGAAATATATTTCAAGATTTTCCGAATTTCCTAATGGTGCAAGACTGCATTCCTCTGCAAAAAAAAATCTCTTCAAATTCCTTTTTGAAATCCCCGATTAAAATATGTGTCATTTTCAGCAGCCAAATGACCCTTTCTAAGATAATCTTGAAAAATCTGTAAATTATATTAGTTTTTGAAATTTTAATTATTTCTTCGATTAGGCAAAGCATGCAAGGGCTATCTGCCTAAAGAAAAAGGATATGTCCGTGGAGAGCATCATACTGGGAAACTACCTTGTTTATACGTCACATATAAGGAAAATCACGACACCGCCCACACAACCAGCTCATTTGTTTGAGTTCGAAATCAACTCGAGCTTCCACTGTTCAGCGAACTTATCCATTTCCCTAAATTAAGTTAGAAATTACAAACTAACTTCATATAGAAGATAATTAATCGACCTAAATTTGTAAAAGACAGCTTCAGCAATCCGCAAAAGAGCCTCTATAGAAATTTTAAAAGATTGTTGAGAAATATTGTATTGTCATCCAAATTACTCATGTATGTAAAATTTCAAGGCAATCACTTCAATAGAAATGGGCGCAAAGCTGATTTAAATGTTCAACTTACACTGGTGTGCAAAAGTTTAGGACGAGACGGTTTTTTCAATATAACTTTGTACAAAAGCTTTCCAAATCAACAAATTTAATACCGTAAGATCCCCAATACGTAAGGACATGAGTAATGTAAGCAACACTTACTAAAAGAGAAATCAGAGGGATAAAAAGAAGCTTTATTGAAAACGTAGCATGGAGCACAATGCGACTGAAGGCCGAAACATCCCTGTGATGGGTGTCCAGCAAGAAACATCCGATCTTTAATAGGGGATATGATCTCCCCTGACTGCTAGGCAGGTTTCACAGCGTCAGCCCATGCTGAGAATGAGGGGTCAATGAGTTGTTGAGGCATTGCTGCCCATTCGTCTTGCAGCGCCAATCGAAGCTCCGGAATCGTTACTGGTGGTAAGGTACGAGCTGCCAAGCGTCTGCCTAGAAACTCCCATACATGCTCGATGGGATTGAGATCCGGAGATCGTGCCGGCCAATCCATGCGTTCAATATCCTCACTCTCTAAGAGCTGTTCGGCAGCTACTGTGCGATGACATGGTGCATTGTCGTCCATGAAAAGGAACTGCGGACCCATAGCGCCTCTAAAAAGACGCACATATGGAAGAAGAATCTCGTTACAATAACGGGTCCCGTTGACTGAACCTGCGTCGAAGATGTGAAGGTCTGTACGACTACCAAGCATGATGCCTCCCCAAACGAGAACATCGCCACCTCCATACCTGTCCCTTTCAATGATATTCGAGGGATGATTGCGGCTTCCCCGCTCTCTCCAGATGAGTATGCGATGAAAATCGCTACTCAGACTGAATCTGCTCTCATCTGTAAAGAGTAGTCGTTCCCATTCATTGTCTCTCAAATTCCGGTGTTCCCGGCACCACAGAGAACGCCTTCTCCGATGGACAGGCGTTAGAGGTACACACCGTACAGGGCGTCGTGCAAACAGACCACCACCGTGCAGTCTTCTGGCCACGGTAAAACACGATATCAGTCGTCCAGTCGCCTGTGTCGTGTGTCTAGCGATTTCTCCCGCTGTGTGCCGCCTGTTCTTCTGGCCTGTAAGGCAATGTACCGGTCATCTGCGGGTGTGGTTCCTCGTGGACGACCACTACTAAACCCCCGGATAGCTGTTCCTGTAGTTTGAAATTGTCTCCAAAGTCGTGAAACGATGCTGTGAGCAATTCCGAACTTTGCAGCCACACTTGTCACACTGCGGCCTTCCTCAACTTCCCAATGATTCGACCTCGGGTAAAAGCATCCAGATGTCGTCTAACAGATTGATTATTCGCCATTTCTCGCTGAGGCAGCAACTCGGTGTGATTTTAACTGCTATACGGCGTGCAACCTCTTTGCCAGAAATATTGATCTTACACCGACAACATGCTTTATACTACTCAGACACTCCCCCATTACATCTACCTGCATATCTGCGCATGTGCTACTGTACATAACCTTACTTAATCTCCTGATTGGCCTTTCTGTCCGTTCTGCCTCTTCGTTCAGCTGATATGCTAATTTTTCGACTTCGTCCTTAATTTTTGCACACCAGTGTATATAAATACGGAGACCAACCTAAATAAAAACTATGTAGAACGATCATGAGGTGACATACTTTTTTTTAACAAACTTTGTGAGGTCTTTTGTTTCTGAAACAATGTCATATCATCAGTATCCCAATTGTCTCTCAGTTTCATATATTTCCAGTATTTAGAAATCGTTTAATCGACGATTCTTGGAAGGGGATGGCGAGATGCAATTGCCCTCACAAGAGCCTCCCAGACATTGTAGAGTCATTAGGTTAATTGGAAGCAGAAAAGATGAAAAATCTGCAACCGCCTTCGCTGGGAATCGAACCACGGATCTCTGGAATACCGGCCCAGCGTGCTACCGTTACACCACGAAGGCACACTAGAGAAGTGGGAGAAATACCTTATAACATGATCTATAGGATTAAAGTCAGAAGATTTGGCTGGCCAACCCAGCGTATTACTGAAAGTAGACAAAGCAAAATCACTCCTGAAAATTAGAAATTTGCGATCTCATAACGACACGTTGATATCGACACGCCAAATGTGTTCAAAATTCGCTCTGGCATCCTACTTATGCAGCATTTTGTCAAATGAAAGTTGCTAATAGCTTGTTAAGTTAATTTTTAATTTCTCCCGTCTTACTGTTTAAGTCCTGCAATTTGTTATGTAATGAAATTTTATGTCGTGAATTAAGAATTGCATAAAAATGTACTGTCATATATAGCAGCGCCAAATTAAAGGGCTGTAAGGGAAGCCAAGAGAACACTAGGTTAAATATGACAAAAAACTTTAAATTGTTTAAAAAAGCTGCTTTTGTTGTGCTAATACTATATCGAAGAGGGCCAGAGATATCTTCTGCAGAAGTGCAGAAATGTCTTCGTCTGTCTCTGATTTACCCTTCTGCAATGGCGCCTGTCCTGATTAGGCTTATATGGAACATAACCTGAACATTCGCACAGAGTGGCCATGGTTCTTGTCCACACATTATAAGAAAGTTTGGCAGATAATTGTTGTTTTTCATAACTTCGGCAAGTGTTAACGCTTCTAAACGAAATCGACTATTTCTTTCATGTATATCGATTTATGAGGTTGATAATCTAGCAAACTTTCATTTTTTTCCACATCCAAGGAGGTGTGAAATTTTTTTTTCTCTAAGAAAAAAGCAAATTTCAAGCAAGTAAAATAAATCTATTCCTTCTTTTGAAATACACAATATATTTTTGCTTTAAATGAGAAGGTAAACTCGAATTTGCTTTTAAATCCTGAAATACATACATTTCGGAATTGCTAAAATGTTAATGTTTCCACAATGTTAAAAACAATTCTCAGTGTTAATAGTATTTTCTTTGAAAAGGATGCGGGACGTCCGGCAGAGATGGTCGAATTGTGGGAGGATACGAAGCAAATCCTGGACAGTGGCCTTGGATGGTAGGTAAAGATGGTAGGTGTATCTGGTACGATAGTCTTTTCTGGATGATTTTTTTTGGAAGGGGAGGGGGCTGCTGAATTGCAACTTGCATTTCCTCTTTATTTTGCTATTTTGTAGAAGTTTGCACTAGAAGTAGAGCACTTGATATATACTAATTAAGCTTCTAATTATTAACTAATCATCATCATAATAATAGCAGTCACAATTATTAGTCTTCTAACAATATTATCCATTGCAATAGTAGGGGAAGTAAACTGGACAGTAGGCTTAGCATGTAGTCATTAATTAAGCATTTTGCCTAAGAAAGGTAAAAATAAAAATTCAAAAACTCATTTTTGCATTTCATATTGCGAAAAAATAACGATTTTTTTATATCGCTTAATTTACACTGTTCTAGTATTAAAAATTTAAGTATTGTAAAGCTTAGCTTTACTATTTTAGTATTTCAAAGCATTTTAATTTCGAATGATTCGGGAATATTGCTTAGTCGGAGTTCAGTTTCATAAACTTCCTTGTCATCTTATCATAATGATGCGACTGTAAAGTTTTATTAGTATTTTATTAGTTGATATATTAAAAGAAATTCACCTAAAACTAATTAATATAAATTTTCTGAGAACTTAGAGAAATAAATTTTTTATAGAAATATCAACCGATTATCATATGCAATTTTTTTTCACTTTCAAAACCAGAAAGATATCTTAACAGAGACTGAAGCTAAGTGACACTCTACGTGGTGTTTCAGAATATCTGAGACTAAAGCAATCTCATCCTTTCTAACAGTTTTCTCAATCTTTCCGTTTATAGGCAGCTATATTTTTGGACAGTCATCGTGGACGTGAATACTGGTGTGGAGGTGCAGTTATTGATCCTTGGTATATCCTGACTGCAGCCCATTGCCTATCAGACCAAAGAGGTCGAAAGTGAGTAAACGTATTAAAGTTTCGGATATGTAGTAAATATATTTAATAATATGAACACCTAGTTATGCATTTTGTTTGCATTTCTAGTATTTTTTTCAAACGTTCAGCATATTTTTACGTTCTTACGTTTAATCTAAGGTAGCTATTCATAATATGTAATTTATTTTGTTTTGTAAATTAGCAATAAAAACTAATAATAAATAATAATATTTAATATATTTTCAAATATAAAATTAATAATAACTGGTTATTTATTCAGAAGCTCAGCAGCTACATCCCATTTTTTTAGTCATCATATTTCGCATTACCTTAAGCAAAGCAGATGTGGGTTTTTATCTTTATTTATTAATAAAATCATAGTTAGTTCAAAATTCCTGCTTTAATGTATCCTCTAAGCGGATCTATCTCAGCGTGGTGTGCTTATCTTCTAAAATTTATTTATTATTTTGATATTATTTATATAATTAATGTTATGGATCTTAAGGAATACAAAACTTTTTTTTATCAATTTCCGTACTCTGAGGAAGTAACAGAAATTGTTCTTAAATAATAATTATAGTTTCACATTTTAAAATAAGATCTGCCAAGGAAGTAAGCGTGTAGTCAGAAATCATAAATACCTAAGCAAAACGAGCAGATACAAGCTCATGAGAAAGCTATCCATAAGTATTTTTACATTTTAAGATGAACTTTCAAACATTGGAAGCCAACAACTGTTTATCCATTTTCCAGTTTAAGGTGGAACTGGAAATTACGAAAATTTTAGATGCGGCCTGTTTACTTAAGTACTTTAACTCCGTAATTTAAGCATTTAACAATCCCGCTTTTTCTTCGGGTTCCTGGCTAAGTGGAAAGATGTTAGAAAAGACCCATAACTTAGATGTTTTTTCTGTATCCGATCGGGCATCACCGTAAAAGCTTGGTGATCATTTGAAATTTGAATCCATGACTTCTTTGTTGGTTTTCTGTTGGTTGCCATGATTAGTTGTTTTTACACACTATAATATCTCAAGTACTTCACAATGTAATTTACAATAACTGCAAGCAAGTGATTACAGTAATTTATGTCAACATAAAGAACTGACACCATAAGCAAATAACTGGCGAAGACGTAAAAGTATTTTCGCAGTAATGATCATTGATCGAGAAGCCGATGCGCCAACATTTCCTTCATTGTGTAATGGAAGGAACTGCCATTAAGTTTTGTTTGACGCTTGAGAAAGCAACATGCCCTTAGTAAATTCGTGATGATTACTTTCCATTAAGGCGAATTCATGCAAACTATTCTTCATAGAAATATGAGGATTGCATGCATACTGCTTATGCTCTGGCAAGTTCCCGCTCCAAAGGATAAAAGGATAAAAGATATTATTATATTTAATATTTCATTTAATTCAAGCTGAACAGAGATGTGAAACCTACGAAAGTTGCACAGTCATATTAACATCCATCAGACATTCGCAACTACATTAACGCGTACATTGTATAATAACTGTACGCAGCGACACGTTCGCATCGAGATAGGAAAGACAGGTTCGAATCACGGAAAAGGAATATATATATTTGTAAGAGTATGATGTCTGCGGCATGGAGGTACTTAAAATACTGTCGAACCTAAATAGTCTCTCGAGAAGTCTGACAGTGAAAACCCTTGGATCCATCCTTCGGGTAATTCTCCTTCAAAAGTGGACGGGGATGGGCAATATCCTACTGTTGCATCTCAAGGCTTAAGCCAACAACAGGCACGGTCCTTCCTTCTTAGCCACCATAAAAGGCATGGATTGGATCTGATTTTACTGTCAGACAAGTGAGATAAATCACAACAGTAACATAATTGATGCTGTAGTATAGCGAAGTCTTCGTCTTACCATAGCCATTAATATTATTTTAGCAAAAACCATTTTAGCATTTTTTTTGCTTATTTAAAAAAGCTTTCTTACCTCCTCTTCCCCCCAAAAAACAGAAGTTCCTTTCTTCGAATAGACATCTTATCCCCCCCCGGGGGAAAAATGCAGTACATGACAAAAATTTAAAAGATTAGATAAAATAGCTATTATAATTATTGTTCTCTTATAGGTATCGTAAAGAACAGTTCACTGTGCGATTAGGAGACCATCATCTTTTCAGGACTGATGATTTCATGAATCCAATAGAGTTTAAAGTTTCTGCTGCCATCCCTCATCCTGAATTTTCAAGAAGTGGATTTTATAATGATATTGCTCTTTTGAAACTGAGAAATCCAATCACATATTCAGAATTTATAAGTCCGGTGTGTTTACCAACTCCAGGATTGAAAGCAAATCCTCTTGTTGGATACATGGGAACAGTCACAGGATGGGGAACCCTTTCGTACGGTGAGTTTACACATTAACGGATTTTAATGACTTATTACCAAGTTTTTCTGATCTTCGTTATTTATTGAAACACTTTGGAGGGAAAAACAGTGACCTTATGTAACTGTCAGTGTGTTTTGGGATGCAGCTGTACTTTTCTGAATTAAGGTTTTCCTAAATCATTTGTCAAAACTACATAACCAATTAAATGAATCCCCTAAATTTATCACCAGCGCTTTCATTAGTAATAATTGATAAAGTTATATTCAGTAGTATAAAGTGATTCGCAGCGATACCCACCAACAGTCAGCGTATTGTCCTACAGTAGTCTTTTAAATCGGCGGTTCTCAGCCTTTACGACTCTTTAACCCCTTCTCACAAAGTGTCATCCCCCTTCTCAAAGTATTTTAAGTGATGAGTCCCAAATGGTACGTAAAAGCTTAAAATTGATTTTTTAAAGTCTCTTCTGCTATAATTTCATATATAAGCTTTATTAGATTTAATAAATATATACTGTGATCATATAAATAATGCATAAATTATTATTATATAGGGTTATTCATAATTCCATGAAGAATTTAAAAACCGTAATAAATAAAACACACGATCCACGCCAAATATTAATGTACTAAAATAAAGGCAAAGTTACCAGACTTTTTTAATTCAAATGTCACAATTGCTCAGCGTGATCACTTCTGTAGATGAGGCAGACATCTATGTGATAATTCGTTTAAGTGCCAGTATATGCATAACTAATATAGATGTCATGATCCTGAAGACTAGGGAGCAGTGAAATCACAAAGTAAAACCTTGATCAACCCCCATAAGAAAAAAATCACATGTGATTAAATATGGAGACTTAATCCTCTCAGCGTTACGGTCGGAAAATTCCGTATAGAAGGTTGCCTTCTATATTCATGAAATATACATGAAAATATACATGAACATTTCTGCTAGCTTTTAATGTATATGGTTTCAATTTGGATGTATATCGGAAGAAAAGGAATCAAGGTACAAAATGAAAGAGTCATTTTTTAATTAAACTCAAGAAAATATCACTTATTCATGACATTTTGAGGAACTTTGAAATTTCAGGGCTAAGCCCGTAACGCTCGGAAAAAGGCCACTGCATTAACACGTTACAGCAATCTGTGTGCATCCTTATCCAGTTTAGTCAAATATTTTGATTGAGATATTCTGCGAAACATTCTCTAACTTTGTGGCAAATTCTGATTGGCAAATGATCTCGATAATGATCCAAGCAACAGTGAAACGGACAACTCTCATGGTAGAAGGTAAAATTACTGATTAAGAGCAGACAAAGGCACCAGTGCTTTACCATGGGGTCGAAAGGTACCCTTCGACTGTAACTTTCAGCGAGTGTAACGCTTTTTTCAGGGCTCGTTTCTTAACGAGCTCAATTTAGACATCATTTTTTAGTTATATTTGTATGCAATGTAATCTCTTAGTTTTCATATTCGGCAACTGGTGAGGGTGATATCTTTGGCGTTAAAGAATAACAAAGCGGTGTAATATAAACTTCACCTGCCAAGAAAAATTTATGTGCATATATGAGTCAAAAAGTATATATATGAGTTATGTACTGAAGTAGGAAAAATTTGTTTGATGTAATTTGATTGTCATAAAATTATGTTTTGAGTAGGAAATGGAAATTATATCTAATATTTATATTTTTATTAAGCTTTTATCTTTAAAAATGCTCTAAAATAATTTAGTTTTATGCAAGAAATGAGAGGACAGAAATTATTTTAGAGATTTTACAATTAAAAAAATATGTTTTCCTTAGCACTGGTAATATAGCCGCCTTCGCCTGGATTCATTTTCTGAGCTGTGCACTCTCTCCTTCTATTTTAGATTTCGTGGTTTTACTTTTACGTATATCAGTCTCTCAAAATCTCTTTTTTAGAATATTTGCCTTTTAATGAACTCAGTAATTTAAAATAGGTATGAACTCAATTATTTGAAACAGCCTGCCACCGAAAGAAGATTTTATGCCACGATCCTTAAATGAGCCTTTAAAAAATTCCCTTTACTCATCATGAAAGACATTTTTTACTAGAAATAATCCTAAAAGTATTCTTATCATACCATTTCATCTTTCTATAAATTACAAATTTGCTTGAATTTTCTGAAGTTCAGTTTTCAGGTCATATTCTCACCTATCAGTAAAATTTGTAGATGGATTCTTAAATATTTCATCTGTGATTTTTAATTCTTGGAGAATTACAGCATATCTTGTCAATGTGATGTGATACATATCGGCGAAACTGAAAAGTTTTGAAATTCCTTATCAAGGAATATGAGTCTTATATTCTAGAAGGACAAATAGACAAATCTTTGACAGCTAATCACAGATTTGTATTTTATCCCCTTTCTGATCGTAGATTGCGAAGATTATGAAGCTTCTTCAGTTAGTAAATGAGATTTTCATAAAACCTAACACATTTTTTTTTATTTAAGTAGTAATAATAGTATAGTTTTTCACATTTTCATCTCATATCTCAATCCTGTCATCTCATCTCATTTCTCAAATCATTCTAATAATTTCAGTTTTTCAAGTTCCATTTATATTTTTCTTGATAGAGCAGGTTACGTTTTCGCTTTGCTCTATCCGCATCCATAATTTGCTCTGCTCCAGACTTTGCATGTAAAAATCGTTTCGCTCTTTCCATTTCTGTCATTTCTATCTCCCTTCTGAATTACAGGGGCCTATGCTTGATTGCTCTCGAAATTAATTTCAATATGTAGGCCAACGTAAAGATTTTTTTGGCGTGTATGTGTGTTATTTTAAAATCTATACTCTCTCTAGCATTAAATAAAGAAAATAAAATATGCTACTTCTCTATAAACTTTCTCGCTATATATCCTGGCGTCGGTAACGCCCATTTAGCGGATAAATATGCACAAATTTTATTAACACATTATCGCATGTTTTCATCTAAATGTTCAAGTTGTCAGCTAAATGTACTGTCGGCTAAACGTATTGCCGGTTGAACATGCTATGGGATAAATGTCTTGCTGGTTAAATGGACTAGTCGGACATCGTGCCTTCGCGATCTAGTTGGAAGCACGTCCGCCTGGAAATCGGGAGGTCCAGAGCTCGAACCCAGGCCAGGACACCGCTCCTTTTTCATATTTCCTATTTTGGAAACCTAACAGATTCTACATGCATCTTATTTAAGAATACATATTACTCGTACATTTATAAAATTAAATTCTAGTAGTACAAACGAAAATGAGATAAATTTCTCAGAAGTTTTAAAGCAAATATAATATTTTTATGCAGAAAATCAGTCAACTATAGTTAAAAATTAAAAATGCTGTTATGGCTATTATTAAGGATTTGTTCAATTAGCTGCATAAAAAATTCTAATAGCAGTTTTTGTTAAGTACTTTTATTTCACTTAGAACACATTTCAAATTAAATAGAGATTTTTGAGTCCAAAATTAGAAAGGAAGAAAAACTCAACATACTGGGTTTTCAATACCGGTGAGTCAATAGCTATAGCACATTTTTCCCAATGAATAAGGAGGGCCTGAGCACGAGACGGGGTCCCACTAATATATATACATCAAGAAAAGGCAGACAGGTTGACTTTATATCTGGTTTTCCTCAAATTCTTCTACGACATCCCCGATCATACTCCTGGCATTTAGTTAAAATATTTTTTAGATATCTAGATAATCGCCACTGGTTTTTACTTTTCGAAAGAAAGTAAAATTTTATCATTTTTCTTGTAATTAAAAGTAGATTTCTTTGAAATTTTTATTGTGGCATCCAAGTGATCACTTGGATTTCATGTGATGACACTCAATGCATTTAACTTCACGAATGTTAAATTGACATATATGATTTTGCAGTCTCTTTTCATTGCCTTATACCAAAAGTAAATATACATCAGAAGATCTAGATTGCACAGTTGACACATTGCGTCAGCTGACACAGACCCTTCGCGACATATTTTTACAAATTTGGGATTTCAATTCTGATTTTTGTATATGTATCGAGCGCTTCTTAACAAGACGCCAAACATAAGAGCTCCCGAATATAATAAAAAGTTCCCGAATACATTCCGCAAGCATTCAACAGATATCTAATTAAGAAACAGCTCTCCCAACACGAACAGCTACTGTGTTACACTGCGTAACAATATAATTCAAAGCACAACATAAACAATATCCTCTATTTTGTAGCATAGCTGTGCTTCTCTGAACAATATGCTAATGAATGCTATGGTCCATTCTAGGCATTCTCCCACTGGATAGTGGATAGTGTGAGGCAACTCTGGCCGACGTATTATAAACAGACATATCCCAGTCTTCCATTAACGTTCTATTTTTATTTTTTCACATTCAATAAAAGGTGCCATATTGTCATTTAGTTTTCCTTTTCAATACCTCTGATCCTAAAAAATGATATAGACACATTTTTGAGCAATGGCAGATGATAATATAGGACTGCAACTACATACCTATGTCTATTCCACATTGTCCTAACACGCAATAATATCACTTATAGTAATCAAATAAATAGATCGAAGCATGTGGATATACAGCGGCCTTGAAACAACATTAGTGTAACTTATATTAGGGTCGGTTGTAGAGCCAGTGCTTGAGTACCAGCAGAAATTTGGGGCGACAAAAGTTTTAAAATTAAGGAACCACAGGAGGCAGAATTCAGTAGCCTCAGAGATTCAACTGAGCGGCAAATAGCCTAGCGGTTTTTGAAAGCCCTGGCCGGTTATTGAAACTTAAAGTAATTTCTAAGATGCTGATTTTGAATTAGTTAAGTATATAGAAACATATTCTAAAAATCAGCTCAACAAATGGCATACAGCACTGACTTATTTATTTTATATTTATTAATATTATTAATTTGTTCCCTTGTAACGTAGAATTTTTATCCGATGAAGTAACAGGAATTTGACAAGTTCAGTTTTTAAGCTTCTAGCTAAATTAACTTTACTTTGCTGGCTACATCTTTACTTGAACTGTGAAGGGACTATTCGCTAAGTTCAAAATGTATCAATGACAGGACGTAAGAAGGGCGAAAAGACCCTTCTATTCAACTCAAGAAAGAATTTACAGACGGCATTCCTGGTGCTTGCAGACTTAGTCAATACTTATGGTTACAACTCAAAATAGAAATATAAAAAATAAAACTAAATAATTAGCCGAAGTTGCACAGAGATAACGCGAGTTGGCTCAAGCCCTACTGTTGATGTATACCAATCGGCAATTAATATTAGCCGTAAAATAGCAAAATTAAATCAGCGTAAAAACGTGGTCGAACGGAAGAACATGCTCTGTCTGAAATAACTCAGACAGCAACTTAAACAGTATCTTTCTATCCTAGTCTGCATAACACGTGAAACTGAACTATCATTCTGGTAGGAAATGGAAGTAAGGGAAGAGAGAAAAGATAAGTAACTAAAGAAAAACTGGTTAGTTTAAAATTAAATGATTCTTTACACCAGCGTCTCTTAAACTGTGGGTCGCGACTACTAGGAGAGTCGCGGGATCTACAGAAGGGGGTCTCCAAAAAATTTAGCAGTTTTGATATTTCTTTAACTTATTATAATAATTTTGCAATTATCAAATATATTTACACAATGTATCTGAGAATAGATAAAAATAAGCCAATACAGACAAAGAAAAAAGGGAAACGTTTCGACGCATTCTTTTTATAATAGAAACGTTCATTTTTATTTGCTTTGCACGTGACGCTGTCATTTCGTCTGTTACTTATTTAAAATTTTCACATTGTTGTATGTCTTAAAATTAGAAATAAAGTTAATGACCTAAAACTGCAGTAGTATATTACAGCACAAGTGAAAAAATTGACAGTTTCATACACGCGTGTGTCGGATTTGCGCAATGCTTATGCATGCTTTATGGGGGTCCTACAAAATTTTCGTAAATATTATGGGGTCCTGGGGGTCGCGAAAAAAGCTCAGTGATAAAAAGGGGTCACGACTGAAAAACGTTTAAGAAACCCCGCTTTACACAATAACATGCTGTACAGTTAACAAATAAATCAAAATTAAAGATAGAAAATATGGTGAAACATGTTTCATAAGTTGAAATTCCTGTTATTGTAAAAGATATTTTTTCAAATTTTCTTTTTCTAATTGCTACTGAGCTGCAGATAAAGTAATATAACTGTTTCGATTATTGCTAACGCATTAGTGAAAATTAGCTATGAAAAAGTACCTAGAAAATATCCAATATATGACCTTTTTTTGGAAAACTGAGTAATTTTACACTAAATGACGTTGCTGGCACGACAGCCCTAGGGCTATGGCTGCTTGCGCGCAGACACGCACTACATGTTTGTCAGAACCAACATTGGTTTTACCTTATTTGTGTCCTTAAACCAAAGACAAGTTCCTTAATTTCATATTAAACTTTCCAGGATGTCTTATTATTTAGATGAAGTAGGTAATAATAATTCTCAAAGAAACTACGTGAAACAAATGAAAAATTATTAAAACGTAGTAACGAGAAGTGAAAAATTGCAGTAAATACATTTTTCTTGAAGATGACTCCTAGATGACTTATCAAAATCTAATTATTGAGGCTTTTTGATTTTTGGTTTAGGAATAAAAATCAGAACACTAACTGTTTGCCAAAATTTCATAGTAAATTTAGAGTCTTGAAATGTTACTTCTCTATTTTAGCTTATTTAATCGGATTAAAGAAATCGCAGAAACAATTAATAACATGTGGAGAAGTGTATAAGATATTTTAAACATCGTGAATTCCCAGTATTCAAATAAAATTGAAAGTCATCAACTATGCTATTTTTCCCCTTGTTTAATAGGTGGTTCTGGTAGCGGCTCCTTACAACAAGTAACTATGCCTATCTGGGATAACACGGATTGTAACAGGAGGTATTTCCAACCAATTACAAAAGGTTTCATATGTGCTGGATTTTTTGACGGTGGGAAAGATGCGTGTCAAGTAAGTATCTTAAATTTATTATGAAATGAGTTATATTATAAGACTTACAAGTGTTATATCATTTCAAAATCAATTACCCATTCAAAAATGCATTTAAATAATGACATTTAATGAAATATGTTATTTTAATGATTTAGAGTATTGCGTTGCTTATTTTAAAATTGCGTGAAGCTTTACATACAAATCGGGTAAAATTTGATAATTTAAATACTTCACTAAATTTTGAAATTTGGCGATTTGCTTAACTCTCGAAATTTTCAATAACCATCCAATAATACAGCCAATAAAATGACTTGGTTTTAGTCATCCATATTATGTCATTAAATATTCAGTATCCAACCTAACTCTAGACGAATATTAATTATATAAGTCTTCTGAATTAAAAGTTGAAAATTAATACCATTTTAATGGTGGAGTACGCCAGGTGGCGTCTTAAATAAAGCCTACGCAGTCTATGGGAAACGCCAGCTAGCATTTTATGTGAAAAAGAAATATTTCCCAGATATTGAAAATAAAACCATGAATCGTTGTTTTTAATTATTATAGTTGCTAAATTAATTGAGATACTGATTTGAACTCTAAATGTGCATTTTTTTACGTGTACCAAAGCACTTTATGAAAATGCACTTTTTTGTGAGAGCCAGAGGACATGACAATGTCATTATTTTAAGTAACCCCAGCCCACCAGTGGTCGGCAGTTAAAAATGCTGAGAAATGGTAGTTCAACCCGGTTCTCGGCGAACTTCACAAAAATTTCCGTGGTTTTTCCTCCATATGTAACATCAATATAGGCCAGCTTTCCTTAGAAAGTTGTCTAGACGTATAGTTCTCGTGTGCTTTGCCATATTCAAGTAACCTAACTTAACTTAATCCCACGTGTGACGTGAATAGGACCTAGTTCCTTTCAAAAAATCGGCCACTAGCGACCGAGCGGTAAAATCGCTGATTACTGGTAGTTCCAACCTGAGTTAGATTCCAGTCGAACGGACTGGCTGCATGGGTGTTTTCGTGGTTTTAGCCATATGTACCGTGTATACGAGCCAGTTTCCCTTAGAAAGTCCTCCATAACGATATCTTTCCCCCTAGGCAGATAGCCCTACTGTGCTTTGCCATAATCAGTTAAACAAAACCAGTTTTGATCTGATTGATATGGATCAAAGTTTTGATCCATATCAATCTTTCAGAAAGGCGTCACTTCCTTTAAGCAGATAACTCTTGGATCTTTTACCGTAATCTAAGTAATCCGCTCCATTCAAATAACACCAATTATTAGAACTCCGAAAACTAACTCTTTTTTACAGGAAAAACACACACACATACAAAATGTATTTTGTACCGGGACTTGAACTCAGATCGAACAATCAGCATTCGAGCTAGTGCTAAAAGGATTTTACCACTTGAGAAATGGAACAGTAAGCTGTCATTTCTTTTGATTGGCTTGGTTTATTTAACTACGGCAAACAACTAAAGGTTATCTGTCTAAGGTAAGGGATGATCTTCTTGAGGACTTTCTAAGGGAATCTTGCTCGTATACACGTTACATATGGTAAATCCACGAAGAAACCTAAAATGTCAGCCCGTTCGCCTGAAATCGAATCGATATCGAAGAGTGTCCACCGACTTTAGCGCGCTGCCACTGCTGGGCGACAACTCATCTGAATTTGGAAAAATATTTTAAACGTTGTTTTACGATAGAAAATACTTAGTTCTTGTAAGGAACTGGATCAGAAAACTCTTTCACTGGGATAGGGTTTAACATGAAAAGCAAAATTAACAGAAACCTTAATTTATTTTCGTAATTAAACAAATTTTGATCTACTGAACCGTTCTTTCCGTTAAGTTACCAATATTGCCCATTTTCCTTAGAATATTCTCTTCGAAGGTACTTTTTTCCTTAGGCAAATAGCTCTCGTATGCTTTTCCGTATTCATTTAAATAAACACCAGATCCTTAATGTAAAATAATATAACTCTGGTACTCTGGTCGTAAATTTTTTTAATTGGAACCCTCTTTGTTCTCAGAATTTCAACTGTCACCGCTAATCTATCAGTAAAGGAAGAATTTTAATTTGCCATGCAATATTTTCTTTTAGTTTTCGTTGAAATTTATTAACATATTAAGTTTAATCGTCTTAAACCTTAAAAAGTAAAAAAAAAAAAATATTTGAAGAAAGAACTGCATTCGAAATTTGACAAACATTTAAAAAGGTCGTTTTATGCGGCAAAAAATATTTCTGATGAGTAGTTTACCAGTTAGACAGTTGCAAGGATCCGTTTAAAATATCTGCAAGCAGCTTTTGATTTTCGTTGAAATTTCTACCAAAAATACCATTACATCAAATACCATTATACCAACTACCTAGCCACTTACTACTATTACATCAACTTCGAATCAAGTAAAATCTTAAGAATTTTAATTACAGGATAATTAACTCTTCTTAGAATTTTAAGCTTAAGAATTTTAATTACAGGTTAATTAACTCTTTACACTCAAATTGTTTTCGGGACTAACCTACCAGCATCTCGACGGTACTTGTTCGCGAATATGTCGATTACAAATAACGAAATTACAAAATAAACTTATGAACAAATATAAAACTCAGTGCAAGTTTTGATCCATATCAATCTATACTTACGAGTTGCGTTCATTTTTGAAGGTCTATTTCTTTTAGGCGACAGTTTTAAGCCTTACTTACCTCTCTTTTGAAACTATACAATGTATTACGAGCAGCAAAATCAAATTTACGTTACAAACACAACTGCTCATTATCCCTCTCTTTTGAACTTAAGTGATCACACGTTCTTTTCAAACGTAACATCGGCTGATATTTTATATATACCTTGGTATATAAGTGAAACGTTAGTTTGATGTTGCATGTGATTTCAAGGGAAAAATGTAAGGAAAAGTACATTTTTTCAAAAGCGTTGTGTTGTGGCAACTTATGCCAGTGCAATCACTAATAGGCTTTAATGCAGCCTGATATGGGACATTCGAATGGTATGCTAGACTTACAATGTCTCCTTAGAGGGAACAACCGAATGCAAACGGTTACAAATAAGAGTTATTAATTGCACAATACTGTACAAATAAAAACTGGTTATAATAATAGAAACCTGCAATACAGATGACTGTCGCAATGTCGGAAGCTAACATGACAGTGTTCCTGCATTCAATATATTTTTATTCTCACTAGTAGAAAAATAGGTGTTCTAAAAATTAATTTCAGGATATTTAAAACAGTAAAAACAAATAACAGTAAAGTTTTTTCCTTTTGCAGGGAGACTCCGGCAGCCCTATGATAATTCCCGACAGAACAAGACACTGGACTGTGGTGGGCGTGGTTTCTTTCGGAAGTAAATGTGCCCAAGCAGGTTATCCAGGTGTATATACCAGAGTGACAGAATATTTAGACTGGATTAATGAAAACATGGAATGAAAGGTCCATGAATATAGTCATTAAGAAGGTAGCTTGTGATAAGTGACCAAATGTATAAAACTTAAGACAAAGAATGCCAGTCAAAATGTGGTAGATTTATGTTCTTCTATTTATATGTAAACTAAAAGTCACGAAGATATGAAGCCATCTGAACTGTTACACTTTCATTTAATTTAAATTTGACAGAAGTTTAAAAAAAGTTTCATTTACAACTTCACCATCAAAACAGCATTTTCTGATGAATGCATAATCATGAACCAAATTTCAATTTTGGAGAAAATAAGGTAGTTTTCATTTGAACTCTTCAAAGCTTTCAATTATGATTTCATCATTTCCAAGAAATAATGTTTTTAGTTTTTCAACAAATTTTTTCTTTTATCTCTGCAGAGCATTTGTTTAGTCACTATAAAATCTGAATTAATATTCATACTTAGGTTTGACAAATCATTCTTTCAGAAGTAACCATATTGCTTGTTTTTCCTGTAACAACATGTCGACGGTGGATTTTATGAAAAATGTTTGATGACGTTTTGATACTGTAATGATTCTAAGTCTTAACACCATCTTCCATTGATTAAGATATAAGTAATACGTTATTACATCAGCATAAGCTAGATAAACCACTAACTTTGCTTTAAATTACTCCGTTTATTTGTTTTGTGTTAAACGATACATTAGACAACTTTCCTGTGCTATGGTTGCTTAACATCCTAAAACAGGCCACTCATTAAAAGATTATCTTTCCTTTCTATTCATACGTAAATTTGATGATTGATTTGTCTCTATGCTGCTGTTCCCCGAAAGCAGCTTTATTTCTACAAACTGCCAAAGACAAAGTAATGCTAATACGACTCTAGTGTCAGTTTTTAAATGTTTTCTAAAACTTATGAGATACCGATAAAATATTCCATATTTTTAGTGATATACAAATGTCATGTACTTTCTAAATGAATTAATGCCGGTCCATTAGGCCTTCGATCAAATACTTCGGCAAGCTCTTTAGGAGAATAAAGGTCTAAGAAAAGAACCACAAATAGTGCTTTATTAGCTTGATGGTCACAGTAATTAACTCGAGGCCGATAATTCTCTGTTTTGATTTTCGGTCTTCGAAGGGTCTGTATGAGATATTTAAATGCTAAAGTTTAGATCGCATGGAAAATCTCCATATGGTTTGGCTTAAAACTAATTCAAACAGAACTATCAAATGCAAACAGAAGGATTTTTCCCATAATATCGATTTTATATTCATAGCGCTGCATATTTATTAAGGTAACACGGAAGCACCATAAGCTGAGTCTAATTTAAACACTAGAAAAAGTACTACGTATGATATATGCTAAATGCAATTCGTAAACAAAACAGGAATATTAGGATAAATTTTTTATTTGTCATTTAGTTCAATAAGCACGAGCTTATGTAAGTTGTGCTTATTTTAAACTACGTGTAAGTAACAGATTAATAGTCATTAACAAAGCTTAATTATAATTCCCTTAACTGCTTGTTTATTTAGTATAACTTTAAATGCTGAAAAGGCTATAATTCGGCCACCACAACTTATAAAAATAACAGCTGATATTAGAAACAAAGGGCAGAAGAGTATAAAGCGACGTTATATAAAAAGAAGAAATTTTAACCTGGAAACAAAAGACAAAATTTTTGGAGGTCGGTTGCGTGTTAAATAGCAAAATTTCATGATCTATAATTTAAACTAATATTTTCGCTGCCGTGGATTTAAACTAACATCTTCCAAGAAGGGAAAAAATTTCCGCCAGTTTCGAAACAATAATGCAAACAACTAATACATAAGTAAATAAGAATTATGTAATACGTTTCAAGACTGACACGAGCATTTAAAAATCAGTCGAGTTCTGCCAATGTATCAATACAGTTACAGAATCAAGATTTTCATTTAAGTATGCGTAATATTGATACATTACATTATACATACATAGTTTTCTTACCTTACTATATGTTTTTAAACTTAGATAAAGGAATAATTTGACACTGAAACTATTTGTAGGCATAGACAGACAACGGAAAACGATTTTATGTAACTTTAGAAAACATTCTTTACTAAAGCTGAGAGTAATTCAAATGTTTGGATTCCGATTTTGAAGTACAGTTAGTTTTCGTATAATTTCTACTGAGAGGTAATGTTAAAGTTATTAAAATATCGAAAATAATAACATAATTTAACAGAAATTAAAAATAATAAGAAAGAAAGCCCGAAATTCAGGACTGATTTGACATTCGCGGGAAATTTTGATACTTGTGTAATTACAGAAAATTTTCTAAAATCTGAAAAAAATTATCCGGAAATACGTGTCTGAAAAAGTTACTATTATAATCTTTGCCTATTTGCAACTTTATTATTAAGAAAAGAAAAACGGTAAAGGGCATAATGAAACTAATTTGAGAAGTATACAAATTAATGAACTTTCATTTTTTAACATATATTGACGTCTTGTCATACATTGAATAAAGAGAACTGTATTTTTTATAGTAATAGCAGTTTCATTAAAGTTTCTAGTCTACCTGTGTCTTTATTTACTTTCATTTTACCTACACTCTGAATCCAAAATAAATTTGTGAGTTTAGAAAATGAAATTTTATCTCATCCATTAAGAAATATTGCAGCCAATGTGTGATTTTTTTCAATCTCATCAATGGCTTGAAATCAATTCAAATGCTTTTGTTACTTATATTTATAAAATCATGGTACCAGTAACCATGGATTAATCTCATTGAACTAAGAAAGTACTAAGAACAGTAAGAAAATATATTAAGACAATAATTTAAATCACATATGATAAGAAAGGAAATCGAATCGCATTTTCTGTAATAAATTATGTCAATCCGTTTGATCCCAGAAAAATTGCTTACACTAAGAATATATGCTAAGCCTTTTTCAAATACATGCATGCTATTTTAAAATTAGTTTAATCAGTGAAGCATTATTTTAAAATTTCACATTTTTACAGATTTATTTTGGTTTTCTTTAATATAATTTTAAATCTGAATCTCAAAGTAAGGGTGAGTTACCAGAGGTAATTTCATTTTCTCATTATCTTATCAAGTATGTTATATCTGTATATGATTATGCAATAGTCAACACGTAATTAAAGTAATAAAATGCTGCACACAAAGCTTTGAGAAAGGAAGTATGTATAAAGTTTTCATAATTAAATTAAAAATTTTTAATGTAAATATTCATAGGTCATGTGAAGTATTTAAATAGCTGTTAAGCATTTATAAAGATAAATTAAAATGCAGTTAAAGCTAGCTGTTCTGGCGATAATATTATAAGGCATTTTTATTTAGACAAACAAATACCCTTCCTGTTGCCAAATACACGTTTAGGAATTACAATTGGTTAGAGACGGCTCAGAAAAATTATTACAGCAGGGCAATAACAGTCTAAAACTTTTTAAATACCTGGGCTATGATAATGAAAGGGGTTCATTTCTCAAGCAGAGTGTAAACATTATAATACAATTTACAGAATAAAAATATTTGATTTAAATTAACGCTATCATGTTTTGCGGAAGAATCCATTTTTTCTCCTTTTGCCTATTTTTGGGTCTAAAAGTTTAATTAAAAAGAAAATATAAATTCACCTTCAATTTCACGTTTTTAAACATGCTGTAATATTCAATGCACAAAAGAAAATAAGTTTAAAATCATTTCAAAAATTCCTCCTGAAGGTATCTGGATACCGTGATGGCAGATCATGGCAATCTTCAAACGAGAATCAGAGCCGTACCGAAAGAACGGTGACCATAAAATTTGCCTTAAGTTACAAAATGGGGCGTCAAAGTGAAATGTAATAGTAATATGGTATTAAAAGATGTTAAAATCTGTCAGTGCGTGTCTAAGCGCAAAAGTACTACTATCGAAAGAAAATCGCTCTGAGCTTTATAGACTAACGCGACTTCCAGACTATAAATCCGATTGAGCCCATATGCGAGATGATCTTGAGAGACTCAGATATCTAATTCTGGACCAATCTCATTTGGGTTGCAAGAATTGTTTTTTTAAAGGACAATATTTATTCCTTATGTAATTACATGACCTAATCAAAATCAATAGGAATATCATTGTCAGGCTTACATGAACGCAAGAGCTGTCTATATTCATGTACAATCATATTTCTCTCCGTATTCTGAAGTCTCAATTTTAGATTATCCCTCTGTGCTATTAAATATTTTCCTGTCGTAAGGCTGACGCTGTAATTCACGTTATCTCATGTTTCATCAAAGTTTATCTTGTAAGCGTTTTGCTCATCAGTATACCAGAGTGTCTAATAGAAATTTGAACACAACATATTTTTGTTTTAAATTTTTAATATAAAATCATTTTCATGTCCCAAAAATTTAGATAATTATTATTTACAATATCTTGTTATCCATCAAGCAGGAATATGATTCCGGCCTCTTAAAATTTCGGGCCAAGTAATTTAAAAAAATCAATTAATTGGGTTCTAGATTTCACATCGAGGTTTCTTTCCAAAAATGTGACACTTCAGTTGTCGTAATAAATATTAGTCTGACGGAGCTAAATCTTGGGAATATTAAGGATGATTAAATGGACCCCATCCAAGCTCTCAGATATTTTGCACACAATATTTATCACAGAAAGGAGTTCGAAAATGTTGTTGTATAATTCACATATGCCATCCTCTGCTTTTTCTCAGCAATATAGTAGAGCATTTTGCTGTAATGCTATTCAGTCATTGTAAGTCCTTCTGATAACAATCTCCAGTAAACTGCATGTTTAGTTTTCCAAAAACTTATTAATATGATCTTCAGCGTATCGCATTCCATCTTTTTTACTGGAATTCCTCATTCACTGGAGATGAGCCATTGTTACTGCGGAAATGAGTTGATATACATAAACCACTTTTCACCCTCAGTGATCTAACAGTGAACCTACGTAGTTTTGGTGCATTCGGTCGCCTCTCTTTTTGTCCTCCAAACCGAGATTAATTCAGGAGGTAACCATATTTATACTTAATGCTCTTTCCGAGTTTCTTCCTAATGAACGTAAGCAGTATATCAGGAGTTCAAAAAATACCTCTACGATTTCCTAGATTTTGTGTCGCGAATCCTCCTCAACGAGACTCAGCAAGTGGTCGGTATCCGAGGTAATCGGAAATTTAAAGCTTGGTTTTCCCTAAATAATGTAGTGCTCTGTCTGAAACTAATGGAACCATTCCTTCAGCTCACCCATTGATCTGCATAAATTTTCTTGAGTTAGCTTCGCAATGTGTTATAACTTGAATTTATGAATTAAAGTAGACTTCCTTGTCCATGAGACAAATTAATTTTGCAGTTGATTTTCTTTTTCAGAGAGATAGGTATTACAATGTATACATAGAGTCAAACACAGGGTTCATAAGTCTATGTGTCCATAAGTCCTGAATAGTTATACGAATTCTTTAATCATGAAAAAAATTCCAGATTTCCACTGGACAGTAAGATGTACACTTTGTTTTTTTTACATTTATGTAAATTAGTATTTGTTGCATAGAAATTAAGATGAAAACATCTAATCTGGCTAATATTCAGTTTTAATATCATTTGCCTGTTTCGATAATGTCATTTAATTTCAATAATGCCGTATCATTTCCCTTTTATTCACACACAGAAAGCGCATTCTCATCTCTTTTCTTTTGAAACAGCCCACGCAGCAGCTCCGTTCTTGGCAACTGTGTTAATTGTATTCAATCAATTTTAAGCGAAGTGGAAAACATTAGTTTTGTGAAATATCAACTGTTTATAAAAATCTTTAGAATAGATGCTTTACAGTTTTATCATCGCATGGATATAAGTTCTAAAATACTTGAATGCCTAGCAAAATTTGTTACAGACCGAACAGCAACCGGCTCCATTTTTGACCTATGGCTCATAAATGGCGGACTGGATACGATCCTCGAATACCATTAATTCATCTGAGTCAGTTTCTTAGAAAGTCCTGAATGAATGCATACGTCTTATAGTAGATATCCCTCATTTGCGTTAGCAATGAGTTCTACCTTAAGCTAGATTTCTCGTGCAAAAGAGAATCGGTGAAATCAAAAATACGTAATTATCAAAATTCAAAAATACGAAGGTAAATTGGGAATCCCATATTATGCACTTTGCGTCTCGCGACTTTGCTTTTGAAGTCACAACTTGAAGAATCAATGGCTTGGCGAGCAGTTGTTCATCTGAAAAGAGTATAATTGCAATAGAAAAATAGCGCATTCCTTTGGCGCGGCTCAAAGAGTAATTTCTGAACTTTAAAACAGATTCAGACTATGCGGATGCTCGCAGAAACATGCTGGCGCTCATTTTTTGTCCGTAACAGCCTGCTGGAACAGAGAAACAGATGCCACTTCCCTGCAAAGAGACGGCACAAAATGTACGAAAACGCGTTCATAGTGTGATTTTTTTTTTTTTTTTTTTTTTTTTTTTTGCGTGCAGATCTGTATTTTGTGTTCTGTTTACCATAAGACATTGTAGACTTGGAAGGGATTGAAAAGATAAATATTCTAGTTGAGGTAATATAGAAAAGCATCAAATTCTCTATAATAGACGATTCAAGACTGTTTGAAGCCAGACCATCATCACACTTTTATAAGGCGAGAACGCTGCACAAGAAACAATCACAATTTTGAGCGCGAAAGGCTATAAAACCAAAGCAAAGGACAAGAAATTTGCTTCGGACATGCTAAAGTACCGTAAAACTTTTGAACTTACATATTACTCAGAATGGCAGTCAACAGGTAGAAGGTGCAGGAAAGGGTCATTCTTGCCCCATGCTGCAGTCATTAGCGATACGTTCCTTTTAATTGAATATATTCTATGCCACAAAATTAATTTGGTTGGAGACTGTTTTTGGAGCAGAGAAGTGAGCGTATACGGTAACTCGCAGGTTCATCGAAGTGAATTTAACAGATCTTATATGGGATCTTCTAAGGAAGTAGACTGCTTCTCGGCTAAGGCCTCCTATGACACTTTAATTGATAGAGAGTGCTTTTACGAAGGAGAAGAAAAGATTGCCTCAGAACAGGCTGTAAAATCATGCAGATATTCTAGCGTTTTAGCTGTTCTGATAGACAGCTCATATCGCACGAAAGCCTCAGAAAAACAATATTTCAAAAGTTTTTTTTTATTTCCAAATATTGTATAAGGAATTAATTATCACATCCTTCCCCCCGTGAGTGATCTCGTGGAGTAAGTGCTATCCTGTCCAGCTCGAAAACGGAAGTTCCCCTGTAGTTCGAATCACGGTGAAAGTACAGCTAGTGTTTCACATTTTTTCATAACGAAAAATCTAATATTTTTTACAGTGGCCCCGGAACTAAAATATGGAGAACAATAATTCGTCAGCACTTGAATTTGGTCGACTGGGTGCCTTCTCTTAGACGCTTTTTGGGTGAGAGACAACCCTGCTTATGGTTTTTCATTCAAAATTACCTGTATTTAAGGCAACTCCATATCTTTCGGTCAGAGGCCTTTCTCATTCCCACTTGGCGATCGCATTTCCTTATTCGACCAATCATTTTGCCATCTTCTTTCACATCTTCTGGCCCAAGAGTGTGCGAGTGTTAAGTTAGCTAAACACTTGTAATTCGGCCTGAGTTCGATTTTAAGTGAACGGGCTAGCTTCACAGGAGCTTTCGTGGGTTCCCCCATGGCAAACGTGGATATTAGTCAGTATTCCTTAGAAAGCCCTCTACATAGGCGCCTGTAGTCAATTAAACCCAAATCATGTTCCATCTTTTCCTCAAAAGCTATTATTTTAGCTACTGGTCAAGATATCACCATATTTCCAGTGCACATATTTTCGGCAGTCTTAGAGGTTTCGTATTTCACAGCTGAATTCAAATATCTGTTCCAATGTCCCGCGATTCTTCATTCGATAAAATCCTGTACCAGCCGTAGCAACCTAGGCACTATCATCTATACAATTTCGCTGTTCGGCCTTATTCCATACAGAATCGTAGTTTAGACTTTTCTTAATACAAACGGCATCAATTCTTGCCATGCCATCTGGTATTTTACGAATAATTCCAATTCTAATCGAGCCCTATCCGCTACTGCTGGAAATGATTTAATTAAAAGGCCTTGAAAACATAGGCTACGTACAAGGACGTATAAGTTTGATGAAACATAGGACGCACAAGTTTGAGAAAAACATCAAACTTGTACGTCCTGCTGCCAGGTTTATCTATGAAACTATTTCCTGATGCCTTTGAACAACTCAAGGCATGAACGTTCTATACGGGTGCTGTTATTGTACCCGTATTGAGCGTTCACACTCCCCAACTGGATACAGTAGTACTCCCCAACCAGATATACGACTTCTGTTGCTCCCCAACTGGATACAGTAGAAAGCGGGTTTTTCAGCCTTTCCATAAAACTTATGATAGAACTCCTACCACTAAAACTCACTGTTGACTTCATCCAAGCTCGATTTAATCTACGGTATACCCGGAACCTTCCACGCCAGCATTCTTCCAGCTTGCAACGTTGTAAGAACTAAACTCAAATTCGCTGAATTTTCAGGTATACTTAACTACACACGTTGTGCGCCAGTGTACGGAATCTAATTACCTTTAAAGTGTTAACTCCGTTTCTGTGAAGACAGTCGGGCGACTTATCGCCCCATCTTAATCTCTCAATAAAATAAGACCAATGCGAATAACGTTTAAAATAAACCTTTTTACTGGTTAGTCAGTGCATAATAGTCAGTAATTTACATAGTCAGTAATTAATGGTTTAATTTACATAGTCAGTAATTTACATAACCTCTGTGATAACAGAAAGAATCTCTGAAACTTGCGGAAATAACAGAAACGAAATTAAAGTAAAATTTTAATGTATTAAAATATGAGATTTAAAGGACAAAAGCCCGCCTACAACTTTTGCAACTGGGTCTCAGGTTACGTAACTAGTTTCAACTAGCAAGGCTGCAGTCGATGTAAATCAGAAGATGGGAGAAATTAGTGGTGAAACAGTCAACGTTTTGTCGCTGCCAAAATCTAACTCTTAAACGCAAGACCTCACTATGCATTAACAAATTTACATCCTGGACTGAGTCAATAAAAATGAAAGTGATAGCAAAGAAAAAATAATAAGATAACTGCTTAATAAACTTAAACCCTACAAGGTGAAGTGCTTCTCGTCTCGCTAGTACTTAACATTTTTTGTTACCTTCTTGCTTTATTTTAATTTATTAATTATGGTTTCTGCTATTATGAAGACTTCTGTGATAGCTGATATACTGACAATATGTTAATTAATTTAAAAAAAAACTAAAAGTCTTATTACAGTTTGCTTGATTTAATAAAAATTAAATTACATGGTTATAAAAACTATAGGGGGAATTTAAACTTATTATTTTTATTTTATGCATCGTTAGACAAACTGTTTCCTTTCGTTAAAACTGTTGTCACAAAACTGAATATTTCTTTCAAATACTTCTATGATTTATGAAAATTTTTCCATGTCTTAGAAATTATGTTTTAGGAAAGCATGAAATCTCTTAGGACAAACGATACAACAGCATAGTTTTAAAATCTAAATGTAATACAACTTTCAAAAGAATTATTTACTATTAAGTAAAACTGTAGCTTTAATTTTAAGTTTTCATTACTAGATGTCGCTATCAGCATGAAATTTGCTCCCTACGAGCAAATGTTTCTCTTCATACAGATTACAGATCAATAGTAATTACGAATGTAAAATCATAAGCAAAAGAGAAGAGGCATCCGTTTAGTTCACACGCGGATAACAAGACTAAAATATTTCGATTACAGATATCAGTGATGAGATACAGTACATTTTGCAGAACTGCTTAGTAAAATATTTTAGTTTGCCGCAACAGATGTTTAAATTAGATCTAAGTTATCTATTTAAGCAGTTTATTACTATTTAATTATGAGAAATTGAGGCAGTGAAGTGGTTCTTAAATTGCTTGAATCCCTACAACAGGTTAAATATTTTGATAAGTTTTAATAATTTTAACGCTCTATGACATGAATGAAAGTTAGTGTATTTATAATAACTTAAATTTGATGAAATCTGTTGATAAAAATGAGAGTACTAGGTATGTATAAAATAAATAATAATTATTAAGCGTGCAGAATGAATATGGATTTTATTCATTTTTTTAACATCGGAAAGCTTCAGTTAAGATAGATACCGAAAGAACTATTAAGAATTTTAATAATTATTTATTCATTAAAAAATACTATTAAGCATTCCTTTTTTCAAATGTCTTTATGTGCTATTGTTGGAAAAGTTACAATGTTTAAAACTTTTACCTGAAAATAATGGAACCAGTGGAATGATTTTAAACATTTAAAAGGATTATCAGCTTGTGGATTTATGTATCTTCTGCATGTGGATTTAAGTACCTTAGTAGATGTAATTCTGAATAGGCGGGGGGTGATGTGTGAATCTATCTCTTTACTGAATTGTTGTTCAATAATTATGGCAAGAAGTATAATAATGGAATACAGCACTAAGGAGAGAAAAAAGGGAAAGAGACACTAGTTTCGATGTTTGATTGTGTTCGAATATTGCCATTTCGACAATAAGAGATTTTGTTGCATACAGCTGCACTAGATAATATGCTACTCTATCAATGGCCTATGTATGTGGAACTCTTTTAACAATTCTGACTTGCAAGTGTAAGTGACACTGTAGGCACTTGCAGAACTACATTTTATCTTATTATGTTCTTAAGAAAATAAATAATATAAATAATTTCTAATTTCTTAGGAGTGAAGTTGTATCTCAAACGCTTTAAAATAAAAATAGATGAACTAATATCAAAATTAGAAGGAAAGGAATGTGAAAATAAAAATTATCAAAATATTAGTTAAAAGACAGACTAGAAAAAAGTAATGAAACGCTTTAGGGAAAAGTTTCACTTTGTGTCTCTGTTTAAGGCAAGCAAGCAATTTCTTGTCCCATTGATATCGAAGGGCATCAAATTAGTGATAATGCCAGAATACTTAATAAATGTTGGTCAGAATATTGGTAAAACTAAAAATTGAAAATAATAATACACAGAATATAGCAGAATACGCAAAGAATCTCACTTTCGTTGTAAAAATGGGAACAAAACAAATAATTTGGTTTGGTTTAATCGAATATGGCAAAGCATGCGACTTCTGTCTGCCAAGGAGTAGAAATGCTTTAGAGAAACGTCTTTCTAAAGGAAACTGGCTCATTTCCACATTACTCACGAGAAAAGCCATGAAAATGCACATGCTCGCCAACCCTTTCACCTGGAATCGAGCCCATGTTGAATTACTAGTGTTGAACGTTTTTGCCACTCGGCAGATAGGACCCAAAACCTAGGGATAAGAGGCTGTTTAACTTTAAGAAAGTCATCGAACTGCTTTTTTCGAAGTGTCTTTTAATTCCAACAAAGCTTAATGAAGAGTTTCAATGACCAGAGAAATGTAACATAAATATAATGTGACCACGAACATACTAATGAGCAAAGAAATGCATATGCAGCAAAAGAACAAGCGTTGTAAGTTCCCCCAAGGTTTCATTCTTGGGCCATTTCTCTATTTGATTTATGCAAATGACTTTCCAAAACATAAAGACGTCTCCAGCACCATGATTGTTTCTTATGCCAATGTTACTGCGATCATCACCCGTTCGGCCAAATCACATTCTAGAAAGGATCCAGGAAATTGAAAAGCGATGCCAGAAATAGAAGATGAAAATTAACCCAGAAAATACCAAATTTCAGTTGTTTGCAAATATAAAGCTCAAGATAAATTGGACTGTAAAGTGACTTTGTTCGTAATGCAAGTCCCACTTATACGTTCTACTAAAAACTTAGAAATTTGCTTCAATGAATGCTTAGAAATTTGGTTCTACGCACATTAACGGTATACGTGGAAAGTCTTAAGTTATCACTCGCAATCTTTTCCTATTACTCTCAGATGACTCAATCTTGCCCGTAAGTTGTTTCTTCACAAAGTTATCGTACGTCCAATATTTACTTAAGCGTCACCAGTCTGGGCAAGTGCGAAAGAAAATGAACTCAAGAAACTGCAAGTCCTGCAAAACAAGTTGTTGAGAATTATCGCTGGTGCCCTTAAATGTAATTTAAATGAAAATTTGCACCATGATTTTAAAATTGACACAATAAAGACTACCTAAGTAAGCTTATTGTGAAATTCTGAGACAAGGCAGCAGCCAATGCTACTGCAAACGTTGCTGCACTTTTAAATTATGAAGTCTTAGTAAACAATGTTTTTCATCCACCCGTACGTTGCACATCTGACACAAGAAGGATTTGCTACCTGACATGCGTTTTCACCCCTCACCCTATACATAGCCGAACTATTCGCGGATGGCAGAACTACTTCATGATCTAAATTCTTAAATACTGTATATTCTCCTATTTCGTACATTTCCTAGATTGGGTACCTGGAAGCTGACGCTGTTCTAACAATTGGTAACACTCATGTTCCCCGCCAGCTACCTGGGTTTTTCTTCTACTACTATAGATGGAACCAGATGAGTAACGACTTTAACTGCTACAGAGCAGAGTCAAAGTGCCTCATCTCTTCTTTTCACCATTTAAAACCTCCTACGAAGGAATATGTACTATTTTTTCTCAAGTTCCGTAAAGAACTTTGTAATTTCTCTGAGAATTACTGCTTAGGCAGTAGAGCTCCGAATAACCCTGCGGTATCTCACTATTGCGTTCTATGTAGTTGAACTGATTCTAAATTAAGGAAACAAATACAATATGATAACTGTCTGAGAAAGCTTTAAAAAAGCATAAGACCTGCCGTTAAGTTACTGAATAGAGTAAGGTTAGCATTTGGAGAAAATGCGGATCATAGATTTTTCTAACTTTTTTCGGAAGTTATTTGTCGAAGTTATATTAGTTAATTTCATGACTTTTTTAAAAATCGTATTAAAATGCATACCAGCTGAGGCTCTGGCAGCTCAGATGCTTTTCTTGCTGTATTTACGATGCATTCACAACGTTTAATGGTGAGCTGATACAATAAGAGAAACATTAGAATCAAAAAATAAGAAAGCCGCTTATTTTGAAGTAATGCTCAGTTAAATGTCACACATTGACTTAAAAAACAAAGTAGGAGTTCAATTTAGGTACGTTAAACATATATTCTGGAAGCAACGAAACGTTTTTCGAGTTCATGAGTATTTTAGAAAGTTATAGTTAGAAGTTATAGTTAGAATAGGTAATATTAAAACAATAAGATAATTATGTCTTTCAAACTAAGTATTAACGGGAGGTAAAGCTATGATTACTCTGCTTACATGAAAACTGTCTGTACTTAAACTGTCATCTATCTGTTTGCAAGCTAAGCTGAAGGACACAGTCACTGTATATATTATGTACTGCAAATTATTCTAATTATCCCTTAAATTTGATTCTTAGATATGCGGCAAAACATTGTTCATATGCAGTTCCATCTTTTCTTTTTTTTACTTAAATATATGTTAAATTATTTCAAAATATGCATAACTATTTTCATCTTTAATAAGAACACAGGAAAAGTCCTTTTTAAAAACTGAATGAAATGATTTCATCCGCAAGAGCTGATGTTACATCGCCTTCGAAAGTCCATAACTAAACTATCTAAGCCTTAAGACACAATAACACGCCGAATAAATACTAATTCAGAAGTCAAACAACAAAAATCAGCGTTATATTTTCAAAATTTTTACAGGACTAGTTTCGATGGTTTTACCAAACCACCATCCTCAGCTGCAAAACCGCAAATGCAAAACTGCAAATGCTCCATTTGTGGTCCATTTGTGGTTTTGCAGCTGAGGATGGTGGTTCGGTAAAACCATCGAAACTAGTCCTGTGAAAATTTTGAAAATATAACGCTGATTTTTCTTGTTTGACTTCTGAATTAGTATGTAAGACTTATTTGAACTATTCCTTTCTCCCCAAGAAAAACTCATTTATAAATTAGACAACACTTTGTTGGCTGAATAGCTGCAGTATGTTAGTTTACAGTGAATCATCTACGTTAGAAGCGAGCGGACACTATCCTATCTACGTTGGAAAAAGAATTAAAAATTCACCCTATTTAGTTAACATTATATTCTAGCGCGTAATATCTAATAAAAAGCTACTGAATACGAATATCGTTGTTTAAAGACATCAGAAGAAACAGATTTGTAATGCAAAATGGGATCACTCTCGTCAAAATGTGTCATTATTAGGAATCAAGAAGAAGAGGTGGATTAAAAATCCGGTATTATGCTATTTCGCGGCACGCTGTATTAAGGTTCAATGTTTTCCAAAAAGAGCCTTTGTTTTCCAAAAAGAGTTCGAGCAATGTCCAACGTCAATTTCATCATTATTTAGAATTAATGACATGGCGAGCAGTTGTAATCGACCTGATACATGTGTATTATAACATAAAAAGTATTAGACGCAGATTAAATTGTGAAGAAATAACGAAATAGTTGAGAAAGTTAAGGGTTTATGCAATACTGAGTTACAAAACTCTCATTTTATTGACTATATATATAAATCACTGAATTGAGAGTTTTTTAACTCAGTGTTGCATGTATATAAATCATAGATGTCTAATTACTATCTTAAACATCAATGCAGATCAGATGCATGCTTCCTTAGAAACTGCATTTATTGCTGGAAGTATCCTGTTTCAGAGAGAAAAATGCGCTCTGCGAACGTAAGATTATTCTAGAATGGTCTGTAGAATACGAAAAGTATTCTACGTGCTACTTTGACCATCACACTTCTAAGACATAATTTCAATCCTATACCTGTGTGGTGTATCACCTATCCTTATGAGCAATGCCTGTTAGAAATCATACACTACAAGACATCTTTAGAAATTTTGTAGCATCCCTTTCTCACTGGGTAAGAGGTATCGGCATATAAGAGCACAAACTTCATATAGTAACTTGAAAAACTCAAGAAAAAACTATGTTTTCACATACATACTTAAACTGGAGTAGCCTGAAATGCAGCAATCGAATTTAAAGTACGATCATCTGGAATATCGATTAATATTTCGCCATACATTGGCATGTTTGGAATGAGATAAGTTCGTGTGGTTGTATTTTACATTTGCTCTGTCGACTTTATCAAATGCTGAACAGTTGTCGGCGGATACCGACGGATCGCAAAGTATCCGCCTACAGCTTATCAGATGTGTTCGATGGAATTTAAATGGTGGAAACTAGCAGGCTGAATTATTTCAGCAATTTTCTCACTTTCCAACAGCACATGAGTAGCCGCAGTGCGATGGAGTGTATTGCCTTTTCGTTCGTAAAAACGAACTAGTGACTTCTTGGAAGAGACACGCATAGGGAAGAATTATGTCATTGTAGTGTTCAATCTGCTTTTTACTGTTTCCGCTTATCTGCACTTGTGAGCATCTATCTTGCATAAAGCCTTCCTAGACAGGAACACCTCGACCGTAGTATCGATCTCTCTCAGTAATGTATGCTCGTCGATACCGTGTGTTATATTTCACAGATTAACTAACTTCCCAATTATGCTGAGTTTGAAACTACTTGCATCAATCAACAAAACATTTTTCAGGTCCATTATTATCCAATCTTTGTGTTCTGTGTTGCACTGTAAATGATGACCTTCAATAGATTGATGTTAAAAAGGTTTAGCATACTGACAATCAGGTAAACGTTCCATCTTTATGGCTGGCCTTAATAAAGTTCGATAAATGGTGAACATGGCTACTGTGTCAGTACAGAATGAAACTTACTTAACATCTGCAGTAGTCATATTCCTCGTTAAGAAAAGCGAAAATCCCTGATCTTTTGTATTTATCTTTTATGCTATAGAATCACTTCAAATGTCCTGATGTACATCAACTGTTTGCTAAAAATTTCTAGTTATACAACGGAATATTATATGAAATCTTAATCTTGCAGCATTTGAACTTTATCCTATTCATTAGGTTTTTTTTCCACGCCTGTGTATTTCACAGATTTTCAAAATGCAAAGATTTTTTTCATATGCCTATTTATTGAAAATATGTTTTTCTAAATCGAATGCAATTTTTAGTGAAGAAAATATTAGATGAATCAGCTAAGCTAAAATTAATCAGTTCTTTAGGTTGACTGATGTCATTTTCACTGGTATTAATAGAAAGTCAAAACGGCTCATTATAATTCTCGTTAAACTCCAGAAATATTTCAAGAGGATATAAATCTAATTTTTTAGTAATGCATTTCTTCTACCTTCATAATTAATGCATTCTGCGTCAATAGTTAGCGTTACCTTTTATACGAATATTAGTAAAATGTTTTTGGAATGTTAAGAAGTCTGTCGATTTAACACGTGATCAAATAAAGAGAAGATATTATGTTTCGCGAAGTAGCAAAAGCATTTGGCTTTAAATCTGATGCGGATGGTGTGTCTGGTGCAGCTTAATGCTTTATGAGAACGTAAGTACTTTTTTTCCTCCGTACTTAAAAATAACATAGTACTCTGAAAGATTTCTAAACTGATTAATACGACTCATTTGCTGTTATAAAAGTATACGGAGAAGGCAAATTCTGATTTATTGCCATTTAACGTAAGTTAAGGCTACAAAAATTAGTTTAATGCATATTGCAAAACTTAAATTTTAGAATATGTAATGAACTCGTGAATTGCATTTTCTCTAACTGGAAACAAAGTCGTTGTTTTAATGTGTTTTTATGTTTTAAAATTTTAAAACTTAATCTGGAAGAAATGTACGTCGGTAAAAATATGTTTGATGAAACTTGTTACCTAATACGTTTCATTCATTTAAAACACTTGGGCAATTGTCAAAATTTACTTAAATTCACTTAACTATTGCGTTCTTGAAAATTGATTTTATATTTCAGATTAAAACATGGATCTTCATTTTTTCAAAATTATCGTTCTCTATACAGTGGTTTTCAAATTTCTTAAAGGCTTTGGTTCTGGAGCTTCATTAAGTAAGTTAAAAGTAATTTATTTCCATTTAACATGAAGCTGTATATAAAATACATGCAGGATTCAACTAAAATTGGATTTCCATAGTGTTGCAAAACTACAAAGTAAATCGGATTTGCCGAAATTCGAAGTAGTTCTTAATTCAACATTTCTGTAAAATTAAAGGCTTAAGCAATTTAATCTTTTGATCAGTTTTATTCTCTTAAAATTAAGCTTAAATTTGCAAAGCGAAATGCATTTTTTTAGAAGCAGGAAGATATAAAGCTCTCTATGAAAAGTAGGTTCATGAATGAAATTCTGTCTCCAAAAACATTTTCAGGAATTATGTTTTTGTTTCACTAATTTTAACACATTTCAGAAAAATTTTCATTTCCCACAGGTAAATGCTTTAGGAATGATTGAAATCTTTGATACAAGATAAAAAAAATTGCATTTAAAGAATCTTTTTCTAAAACAAATGTTTAAATACTTCACCGTAAAAAGGTATTCATTTACCTCTTCGATTAATTAAAGTTGTATAACAATTCATTCATTTTACAATTTTATAATTCATTCATATATTTACGAAGAGAAATTTCAAAAAATGAGCTTTAAATAAAAAGGAAAGAAAATGTCTATTTTGGATTATTTCAGTGCACAAGTGATTAAATAAATTTAACTTGTAAGCCTTTATTAACGCTAATAGCGTATTTGAGGTTGCATATCCTGAAACCCAGTTAAGATATCTTTTCAGTTGTAGACAACAGAAGTCAATGCCATGACAATGACCTCTTTATTGTATTTGCTATATAAATGCCCTTTTTTAAAATTAAACACCATAATGTATAGATTATTAAAGTTAATTTGAAAGCGAATTTTGCAATTAAGATCTTTGGTTAAGGGCACTTTTCCCAGATTTCTGTAAATGTTTCAGTATTCTAATATAGGTCACATGCTTTTCATAGATACTTTTGTAAATAATTCATAGAGCGCAAGACATTTGTGAATATCTGACATTTTGTCTTTCCTTATTACTACAGGTAGCAATGAAATGGGTAAACCATATTCTTATGATACTAAAGGGGATTATGAACTGAAGAACGAGTCTATGGATGGATTAGACAATGGTGTATACGATGGGTATTCAAAACATAAGTCTTACCCTAGAAAAGCTAAATTTTATGGGCTTAGAGAACATGGCTATTCTAGAAGACTATTTCGAACAAAACCTAGTAGGAAATCATCTACACCATCTCTTTTGGGTGAATTAAGCCCTTCTGAAAATTCCAAAATTTCAGTTTCTTTTCATGAGCCGAAGGAAAATATCTACAAAACTGGTCATCAAATTCAAATAATACCTTTGAATGACGCTGAAGGTAGAACAAAACTTGAAACTGAAGAAAGCTTTCTTAATCCTCATGAAGATTTTTTTGCACCTCCTTCTTATGTCACAGAGCGATATAAATTAGCAGACTTAGAAAGTGCTTCTGAATTTATTCCAAAGAGTTCTAAAATATTGGCTTCAAAAGATGCTAAAGAAAAATCGAGCAGTGCCGACATATCTGCAGATCTAAACACGTTTCACGAAATAGGAGGAAATTTTGTTAGCGAGACTAGAAAGAACAAAGCAGATCAAAACTTAATGAACAAACAAACATTTAAAAATGATAAAATCTCCAATAATAGTAACAGGTATATGCCTTCTGTACTATTTTACTCCAACGAAAATGCCAATTCTAATTTAGAAACCAATATTCCCCTAAAACATAAAAGCGAAATTTCATTAGTTAATTTCGACGCAGAAAATGATCTAACAGTAGATGGGCCAGAGAACTCTTTGACAGAACCATTTGAAGGAAGTGGTGATTTCAAGGCAGTGGATGATGATGAACCAGATGAAAATACTCAAAAAAAAGTTCCTTTACCAAGCAAGTCTGTCCGAATCATAGATTTCTTCGCAAGAGTTAACAGTTCTTCAACATGTACTACACCTAACGGGAACAATGGCCAGTGTCGTCCTTTTCGGGATTGTCTTTTAAGTGATGCTCTGAATAACTTTAACTTATTTTTACAATATGTGTGCTTGTTGCAAGGAACTTTCGTAGGAGTCTGTTGCCCGGATAATCCTGTAATTGAAATATCTGATGCCTCCAGCGATAACATAACAGAAAGTGTAACAGCCAATATAACGCAGCCTTCTGAAGGTAAATACTTCATATAATTACTAATGTAAAAGTTGACTTGGATTTGCTAATTCTTTATCTGTTCAACTATTTTATGTATACTGAACATTTTATGTTTGTATGAAGCATGTAAATTTCGAGGAATTTTCTAGGTTGTGGTCTGAATACCAATGTAAGAATAGTTGGTGGAAGTGTATCTCTTCCTCACGAATGGACATGGATGGTAAATTTAAACTTTTTGTACGTCGAAATTTAATAGGTAAAAAAACACGACATTTGTATTAATTTTTAGTATTGCAGGTCGCTTTGTTAAGAAGAAATAGATTCTTCTGCGGCGGTGTCATTATAAATGATTGGTATATTCTCACAGCTGCCCATTGCGTTATGGGGTAAGTGCCTATGATGAATATCGGAATTTCGCAGTTGGTAATGATTCGCTATTATAAATTAATACTGATCTCTTTTGTTTTCAGAATGAAGGTTAATGATCTGAAAATCAGATTAGGAGAGTATAATTTCCAAGAACAAAACGAGCACCAACAGGATATTCCAGTTGCAGAAATAAAAAGGCATGCACAGTTCGTTACTCTGACCTTCCAACATGACATCGCTCTGCTGAAACTGAAACGAAGGATTGAATACTCCAAGTTTGTAGGCAGCATTTGTTTACCTAGCAAGGCTGGCCGAGATTACTCGGACGCAAATGCTACAGTTGTAGGATGGGGTACAGTTTCCTTCGGTAAGAATTTTTATCCATATCAATATCATACTTTGAGCTTTTTCTCGTAGGTAAGTTTACGAAAGTGCTCAAAACTGTAATAGTAGGGTATATAATATTCTAGTATTAACACTTTACTAATGCATTAGGAACGTACGTTATCATTAATTTGCCTCCATTTACACTAGAAAATTCTTCGCGCAGGGTTTGTGAGATAATTCTAAGACTTTTGCAGACCGAATCCCACCAAGTATTAACCTGTAGGAGGCTATACGGTATGAATTGAATTGGTGGGGATTTATTTTAAAACCTTAGAAAAAAAGAAACAAGGATTTAAAATATAAGCTGGAAATCTTTTAGATGAGAAGCAAACGATGAACTGTTAACTATGAAAGCTATGCAAAAATATAATTTTCCAAGAAAACGCGCTTTTCACGTTAATTTCCTAAAAGAATTGTTCTGAAAGCTTCCAACTAAAATTAAAATTTGTATAATTTACTTTCTCAGCTGTTCTATATTTTAAATGTACCGGAAATTTTAAAATTATCACATTTCTAATACTTGAAAAATTACTATGAAGTTGTTGGCAGGAACTAAAATTCAACAAGTTTTTAAGTAATTCGTAATGACAATAAATTTCTCGAAGACCATGAGAATGTGTTATAGAAAAAACAAATTTGGCTGAGACATTCTTTTCTACATAACATTTTTAACTACAAGTTGCTATCTAAGTAGTAGAGAATTATTGTAAAGAAGTTTCTATTGCTTTTAAAGGAGGTGCAGCAAGTCCTGTACTTCGCCAAGTTACTATTCCAGTTTGGAAAAATGAAGAGTGTGATAAAACATACAGAATGGAAAGCATAACAGACGCCTTCATGTGTGCTGGTTCACCTAAAAACGGCGAAGATGCTTGCCAGGTATCGGACAATTTTATTCAAATTTTCGTAAACGATTATGAAATTCTGAAAATTGATCTCTTAGTTCTTGTTACAGTAAAACTTTTGACCACCTGGTAAAGTCTTATTAATCATGTAACCAGATCTCTTCTAATTGGTATTCTAAGTAAATATGTCTAAATAAACTAAGTTTTAATGCTTGATCTTTCTCTTTAACTAAGGCACTTAAATCCAATTTAACTTTCCGTGCCCACCAACGGCTGAGGAGTAACGTCGCTAAATGCTGGCTGTTCGATTTGAATTCGAGTCCAGGCAAACGGCCTGCCCGGTGTGGGCGTTTTCTTGGTTTTCCTTGTGTGTAATGTAGACACGAGCCAGTTTCCCTTAGAATGAAGATGAAAAGATGAGATTAGTCTTCAATGAAGGCATCCATATTTTTAGGTAGATAGCCCTAGTGTGCTTTACCGTAATCAGTTAAACTAAAGACATCTTTTTCGTTTCAAAAAGCATCTAAAGCTCGTTTCTAGATATGCCAGTTGATATAGTAAAGTGTATTTGGGTTAAATGCCAGGTACGTATTAATATTTACACATCTGAGATGTTCTAATGACATTTACTTTCCTCTTCGTGACTTTTATATCTTGTTTAATAAATGAAGAGTTTTCATGAAATCGTGGCTATACTTATTGTTTTAACTTTAAAAATTTTTGCATAATTTCTGTGTAATTATTTTAGTCGCTCATTTCAGAGTTTAATTTTTATAAATGATTTATTTCTGGCTATGGTTCATTTTGCTTAACCACTTGAGATAACACTAAAAACGTAACCTTCAAGCCAAAATTACTTAAATTCATTTTTAATTCATTAATTTTTAATTTTAATATAATTTGAGACTTTGGATGAAAAATTCAATGACATTCATTAAACTGTGAAGCTTTAGTGATGTGAAAATGATATAGAAATGAATTAGTATAACTACGGTATTCTCGGTTATAATCTAAACACATTGACATTAAAGTCTTAACAACTTAGTTACAAAAGGCTATTTCGTTTAATGTAATATCGGGTTCATCAGCGGCTGGGTGGTTAAGAGCTTTGAACACTAGTATTTTGCCCTGGGTTCAAATCTAAACTAAACAGCTGCCTGCTAGGGTATTTTAAGTTTTTCCCATTTGTAACATAGCTAAAAGGCAATTTCTTTCTTTCCCGAAGGCATCCCTGCCCTTAGGTAGTTAGCTCCTTGTGTGCTTTGCCGACTATCCAGGCAATATTTAATATCTAAAAGAGCGTTGTACAGTCCCACGACTTCAGAGATGACGCGTGTTTTAGTATCTTTTTAATTACACGTCGTTAAATTTTAATTTTCATGTCCTTCGGAACTCTTCGGCATGTTTTACTTGTACACTTGTTTATAGTATGTATACATACTTAATCTAGCGTATCGTATTTCCAAAATTTGAAGCTGTGAAAATAAATTTCAGCTGTTGTAATAAAGGTCTAAAGGATGTAAGCTTTTCGTATAATTTATATTTACTTTTTGAATTTTATACCTAACTCAGCACCTTTCCTTTTTAGAGAAAACTTTGTTGTATTTTAGATCGGCAAAATTAATTCTGCGCATAACCTGGTTATATATTTGAAAAATATCAGCAGAACGTAATTTACGGATCCGACAATGTCGGTTAAATTATAACTGTCTTTATGTATAGTAAATCTCCCAAAAGAAATTTCCTATGTGTATCTTGCAAGAGATTCCTTATTAGCTAAAGTTTAGTATAATGTGCTTTTAGTGCCAATTTTTCTCTTTAAAAGAAATCGGAACTTCTTTGCTGGAGTTAAGTTCTAAAATAACGAGATGAAATTTTTCAGTTTTTCAAAGCTGACATACTATTACTGTCTGAAGAATAAAAATGTGGATAAATGAGTTTTGGAACAAATAAGTTTTATTTCTTGTCTGACGAGTACCCATCGATAGATCACCAAAAATACCTCGGGTGACAATGTGTAACGCAACCAAGGTTCTAAGTGTTCAAAATTCTTTTATAAAAATTTTCAGGATTCTTCTGTAGAACGATTTTTTTAGATTGGTACTAAGGAAGAAAGGGAACAGTTTATTTCAATTTTGCTCCTGAGACACGCGCATATAGTTATCATGTAGAATAACTATGTGCGCTAACTTATGTAACTATGCAACTTCCATCAGCAAAATGGAAGAAGCGGCAATGGGGTGTAGCTCGTCGTCATAAGTCTTATGATTTCATACGGAAGTAGAAAGAAGTTGGAACAATCTCCATTTAAAATGCTGTTGCCAAAACGGTATTCGCCGCAAATAAAACAAATTGCATTGCCAAAAAAGTGGCGGTAGATTGTTAGAGGCGATAACGAAGAACATTTTTTGTAATAGTCCCTATATATTTAAAGATAATTGCGGTAAAAATCGCTCAAAACTGTTATTATACTACTTGTGTTAAGTAGAATAAGTTTAAAAAGTGCACACTTTAGCTGCTAAAATTATATGCACTTAATTTCTCTATTTTATACATATGGATTTTATTGTTGAATTTTCTTTCGAAAATCGTATGCTCCCTAAGCAGTGTATTTTTCATGTGGTAGCATGAGCATTTATAGTTGTATCTGTGCATGAAAATAACGAATAAAATATTTAGGAGGAAAACAGACTTTTTTTACACAGTGCAAGGCAATGTGGTAGATGTTTGGTACTTGGCTACTTGTCGATACGAACTGTGGAGGAAATAAATTTCCTGCGCCAATAAATCACTCTTTTGATTTTCGATAAGCACTGTCTGACAGTATTCAAAACCACTTTAAGATTGTTACTGTCTTTACTTTTGTATTTACATAAGAAGGCAAGTGGTTTCTCATGTGTTAGTTCTAATTCTATCAATTTTTCGGAAGTGTTTAACACCACAATTACATTCTACACATGTCGTATATAATTTCATTGCTAGAAAATTGAAACTCTCAATTTAGTAAAATACCATATGCCTAGAAAAATTATAGCTTCTGCTTCACTTCTCGATAAATCTTGTTAACGTATGAAGCAAAACGCAGTAAAAATTAACGATATGAAAAACTGTTCTCCCAAGAATTTTTGACGAAAGTGTTATCGAAAAAATGACACGATGCAAATATGTGCTTGCATTTAAATGGTCAAAATTTGACACTTAAATCATCTCCACTCTTCTTCAGGTGGTTTTCTCCATGCACAGCGTATATACAAGCCAGTTTCCATTGGAAAATCCTCCACTAAGCCATCCTTCCCCTTAGCCAGACACCTTTCGCGTGCTTTGCTATAATTAAAGAAACCAAGCTACTCTCCCTCAGCAAAATAAAGTCTCAGCTTTCAATACTTTTTTGTTAACGGGGGTCCAACTTAGCCTCAAAGAAACGTTGGCGCGAAGTCTAATTAAACGGCAACTCTTAAGATACGTAAAGCTTTCATTGGGGGGGGGGGCAATTTGATATAATCAGTGTATCTCAGAATTTCAAGAAAACTTCTGTGAAAATGAAGTCTTTCTAGGCATGTGGGAATTTTAAAGTAAATAATGAAAGCGGTTGCATTTCACGACCTGTTGGTTAAACTGATAAAATTAAAGAAATACGAAATGCTTAATGTTTCGCATATTCAGGATAAGCATACGTATCCGGTGCTCCAATTGTTGGAATAAATTTTAATACACAGCGTCATCAGTAGATTAGAATGGAGCTGTAAGGTTAAACGGCGAATAAATTCACTCAAACTATCTGGCACGCATAAGTTAGTTTTAATAATGAATATAAATTTTGAGATTGAAAAATATTCAAAATGCGCTATCGCACGAAAAGTTTTCTGTAATTAAACCTACGTTGACTTAATTGTGTATTTCAAAGCTGAAATAGTTGACATTAAAACATGTTATAAATTTTTTACACAGGTGCATTTGATTTCTTCCATTCCAGTAGGAATTGATTTACCTAAGTTGGGAAAATTTAGGTAGATATTTACCCTTGATTTTTCAAGCTTGTCTTTCAGTAATTTTTAATTAGAATTTATGCAGATAGCCTTTGCATACTTTCCCGTACTCAAACAATGTAACCTTCAATAAAATTATTGCTCTTGCTTGTTTATAAGCGTAATACATAAGGTTCTACGTAGTAGTAAAATATGGCCTTTGTTAGGATTTTTAATGGTAGTAAGGCGAATTATGTAACAGCCAAATAAATGCATATAGTAGTAATGTGCTTGATATTATTTACATTATAGCCTGACAAGACAATTTGTTCATATTCTGCTCACTTCAAATTTCCTCTTAAAACATGAATTTTCAAATTCATTTTGGAGTAAATGCTTTATCCAAACTCTTTAGCCAAAAATTATTTAACTGCCATCAGCATGTTTTACAGCAGGATAAAGAATTCCTGGTTAAAAATAAACTTTTTGACTTTACGAAATCCCAGATTTTTCTTTCTTTAATAAAATCGAAAGTTTTAAAATTTCTTTGGCTACTTTTAAGAAAATAAGTTGGCGATATACTTAATTCGTGCGAGGCGCGTTCTAGAAATTTGGTTTGGAAGTTCGGATTTTTACTTTTCTTTCCTCTTCATGCATTTGAAAAATTTGCCTGAACACTTTTCATTTTAGCAGCTTGTTTAAAAGCACCTTTTGGGTTAATAGCTATTTTTATCAACGGGTATCTCTGTTCATGTTGAAATAAAAATAGTTGGCCGTTCATATCGAGCTTTATTTTAGAAAGATTACCGTCCATAGATATTTTCAGGCACTAGAAAATTACGTGGAGAACCCGTTAATTTCCTAATTAATGTCTGACCTCAAATTATTATTCCCTATTTTTTATCAACGATAAGTTATTTTAGATATGTATATGTCCTCCGTCCCGACGCGCCTTACAATTTCGAAAACTGTACTTAAATATTGTAAGAATTTAAAATCTTTCAGTCTGTAAGAAGCCCTCGCGTTCTTTACTTAATGTAATCTAATCCAGTCTAATAAGCTCCCTCGCTTATTAGGTAATCCAATGTTTAATTTCTTTCATTCTCAAGTATCCAAATATGTTTTTAGTCTGAAATATACTATACTAAAGGTTAAACAATGAATTTTTACAACTATCAAATTGCATGCGACAAGAAATTAATTATTCCTTTAGAATATATTTATCTTTTTTATGCATAATTGGCAGTTTTTACGTGGTATCCGAATGTTTTTGATTGAACAATATCTAAAAGCTCAAAGCCTGTAAAGCGGTTGCATTCTCAAAAGTTTCGAAATTTGAAACAGCTGCGTATAATATTTGAATATACGTGAGGAAGTGTGGTCTTTGGAAATTGATGTGGATTATGAAATGGCAGCAGTTGCATTAGCTTTTATCATTCGCATTGCAAAGTGCAGGTTTAATGGGATGAGTTTACAGAAAAAAAATGCATCTTGCAATAACGAACGAGGTAAAATGTTAGTCTGAAGATTTTATTAAGTTCAAACGACAAAGTTTTCTCTTATCCATTTCAAATCTTCAATACTGGCGCAAACTAGACAGGGGCTCTTAAAATGCATTCGATATCTATAGTGTGGCTATAAAGTCCCTTTACACCTGAACTAGAAGAAGGTATCTGGGGAAGATGTTTCAGATCTGGACCTCCATCTTGATCACTGATATGGTAACATCGCACCTCTCGTGAATTTCAACGTGATTGCCGCGTACTTGCTACGCGACTTAGGGTAGGAGAATAAAGTCTGTGCCTTGACCAGTTCTCTCTCGTATTTCTGTACTTGGTGAAGAACAATGGCAGATCTCAGGGACTTTACTTTGGAGGAGCGCTTGGTGACAACTGTTTGCGTCCATGAACGGAAGAACAACGAAAATATTACACAGGCCACATAGGTTTCGTGAACGGTTTGGTAAGGAGCCACCGAGTCATCAGATTTTGATCACATCTGAGAAGAAAAGCTTGTCCCCTGACAGATGTTATGGATTAACCAGCCCCTTAGCCGCCTCGAAATCTGGACCATGGAGATAAAGGACTTACTGCCTACCTCCAACACGCATAATCTGAACCTTACGGCACTAGACAGTGCCCTGTGGGTGGTTATCAAATCGTACGTCAGGAAGAAGCGGTGAGTGGACAATGATGCGCTACGGATAGGCGTGCTTTTGAAATCTTCGAACAGGTGACACCGCACTTGCTAAAGCTGAAGACATTCTGGTGTATCAGTCTGTGCAGATAGTGTATCAGTCTTGGATAAATAACCGTACGTGTTATTAGTTACAATGAAATAATTGCAAATGTAAAGGGACTTTCTCGCCCTCTTTACCTTAATAACTGCTGCTGGGGGGTGGCTGCGTAATTTTCAGGGCATGTTAACACTGAGATTATAATAAAATAATTTGATGTAGGCTACTTTGTAATAGCTATCCATCCCATTAGCACCTACTTTATGCTTTCACATTGGAGTATTCATAAACTAGTGAAGTAGAAAAACTTGTGATGGTAAGCAAGTTCCTAACATGCGGAATATTCAAATGAGACTGGGTGGAAGCTTGTAAGACTAGAGGAATGAAATTCCAAGACTGTTTGTTTAAATCTGGGAAGATAATTGGGTTGTTTAACGGTTTCGAAGCCTGATTTTGAACGGCAGTGTTTCGCACGTGATTTTATGCTGTGTTTCAATAAAAGTGTAAAATTTCTTGTGTAAGCGGCTTACTCACGTGCAAAGCTTCTTGAGCTAATAATTTTGTTTAAAAAAGGAGCATTTAGAATAAGATTTTATTTCAGTTTTAATTCTTTTGTCACCAGTGAATACTCGCAGAATATAAGCGAAGTCAACTTTCCATAAAGTAACTAACGTTTCAAAAATGAAAATTCTTGAACGAAGAGTTAAATTAAGAATATAAAATCCAGCTACTTAGACCATTGGATTACCACTATCGTTAAATTTTCAGCTGACCGACTGATCATTGGTACAGGAAAGGTTATCCTTGAGTACAATTTTTCACCTTTGAATCCCATCGATAGGGTAATAATGGGTAGCTCCTCTCTACTTTATATTTTCATTCTCTACTATCAATTCAGACTTTTTCTCGTTATTTCTAATAAAGTTGTAAAGTAAGATCTAATCGCATTTCACTTAATGAGACTATCGAGAATCGATTAAGAATTTTAAAATGGAAAGGACCTTGCTGTGAAATGCTGCAAAAGTTTGCTTATTTTTTCCTATGATATTTTAAGATTTGATTTATATCTAATTTTCTTAGGTCTTCGAAAAATATTATTCATAATCATGATACCATCTGCAAGTAGAAGCCCAAAGCCGAGTAACTAACACTACTGTTTCAGTTAAAGTTCGATTATCGGTAACGTATTTAGCTGGGAAATATTTTTGTGGTTTTCTGTATATTTGAAGCAAAGCACCGTTCTCCAGTAGTAAGAACATCACAAAGGAAGTTCTATGGAAGATCATAATGTGATACCCAGTTAAACTGTCATTTAATATTGTTATTCCTAATTCCACTGTCCATTAAATTTTCAAAACGTCTGTAAATGTTTAAGATACTCAATACTGCTAAAGAGGTTCAAAATAATTTCGTAGCTTGAAGCAAAAATAATGTAGAATTTGCTAGTGCCGTAAGTACCTGATCTACGTTTGTGTCGTCGCTGTTACAGCATGTAGGGCGAGTATGAAAAAAGCAATTTTCTTAAGGCAAAACCACAGAAGCTTCACCAAGATAAAGCTATGATTTATAAGGGTTCTCAAGACATACGGTAAATATTTGCACAAGCTCGTTCTCACTTTCCTTTTCTTTTAAGTTTTTATAGAAAGCATGGTGATATTTTCTGATGAATAGCCGCGGAATTTGAAAATGTCTTTTAGCGTGTAGTCAAACAAGTGCGTAGCAACAGCAGATAAATATAATTTAACAAATAATTAAGGCGATAACCTCAAATTTTAGGACATGGTATTTATGTATAGATCAATGTGAAAACTCATTTTGAAATTTTCATTTGTGCTAATTAGCAGTATTTACATGCAGAATTAATCGCTTACCATTTCATATTCATTTCTATGAGAATGACGTTATCTAATGGCTTCAGGTATCCATTATTTCACAACCTGCAGAGCACCTTTCAGTGTACTACTCGGCGAATAGAAGGTAATCTATGCAGACCAGACTTAAAATAATTTTGTTTGATTCGGTAAAAGTAGCATATATATACACTGCTGGCCATTAAAATTGCAACATCATGAAGGAAAGCAAATACAAAAAATACATTTATTGTGCGCAAACAGTATGGCATGAAGACAAAATGATCAAATTTGTAAGCAGTCTGGGGGTTTACAGGGGTGCATAATTAGTAGAAATATGTCACCCTTTTCAGCTAATACTGCCTTTACCCGATTATGCATAGAGTCGAACTGGGATTGGATGGCAGAAACTGACGACTAATTCCATGCTGCTTCAAGCCTATACCACACTTCATTATCTGTATTAGCTGGAGAGGGGTGACGAGCCAGTCTCTCAGCACCCATCAGTAGTTTTCAATGGGTGACAAATCTGGAGACCAAGCAGGCCAGGGCAGCAATATAATACCCTGTGTATCGAGTAAGGTCAGAACACGACGTGCAACATGTGGTCTTGCCTTATCTTGTTGGAACATGGCGCTTGGCAGCCTTGAAGATCCACTGGACGTAAGATGTCATGAATGTACCGACCTGCGTTCAAATTACGTCTATCTGAACTAAAGATGTGCGTGTATTGTAACCAATGGCTGCCCAAACCATCACACCAGGTGCAGGGCCCCTATGCAGATATCGAATACAAGCAGGTGAGGTACGGTAGACTTAGAGCCTCCAGACACATATACGGCCATCAGAATACTGCACGCAGAACCGAGACTCGTCTGAAAAGATGACATTCTGCCACTTCTGTATCCAGCTTTGTCGTTCGGCTCACCAGAGTCGCCGTCTATGCTGCATTTTCAAGGGAAGCCGAAGTTAATGGTCGCTGTGCTGATAGTGTACGCTGCTGCAAACATCAACTCACAGTACGAGCGAATACTGAGCGTGCTTTCCTGACTAATGGTCTGTGATGTGGTTAAGGTTTTACAAAGCTGACCTCTTATGTCTGTCCTCAGGGGTTAGTCATCAGAGGGCGTTGAGATACTACTTGCCGTTCAAAATGATCCTCAGTAGTCCATTGATTCCATATTCGCATGACAGTGTTTGAATGTCCACCTGTGTAACGGGCGATATCATGGAACGATAATTCACACACTCGATAGACAACTATCCTGCCTCTATCGAATTCCGACACTTACTGGTAAGCATTTCTTATTCGAGGCATAACACTATTCTGAGCAAAATCCGACCTTGCAAAGCGCTTTCTGAATGAGAAATCCACTACACAACTTTTCTTTTATCCAGGTGCTTCAGATGTCGTTTCTCCCTCCTACGTCGTATAAATGCGCTGAAATAATACTAATCATTTGTATATCCCAACTTCCTTTCATGCGATTTTGACGTTCGTCAGGTCGTTTCTTCCTGGTGTTGCAATTTTAATTGCCAGTAGTGTATTATGGTGTGGCTTGATTTTTCATAACCTAAGTAGGATATGCCGGGAAAGTGTATGTGACCTCATTTCCCACGGATTAAACTGAACGCTATATGCACATACGTGATTAGAACTAATTTTTTGCAGCACTTTAGGTAGTATAGTTATACAGTAATTTATACTGATATTTTAATGCCAATTTTAGTTTTTGTTTGTGTGTTTACACTTAAATCAAAATGAATTCCTCTTTTAGGGTGATTCTGGTGGCCCGCTTATGGCATTAAATGATGAAGGACGTTGGGAAGTGATTGGAATAGTGTCATGGGGTCGAAGATGCGGTGACCCTGTCTATCCTGGAGTATACACCCGTGTCACTTCTTACTTAAACTGGATAACAGAAAACTCGCAATGAACACAAGCTCCTTTAAACACTCATCAAAGTTTTTAATACTGTGCACATAATTTACTTGTTTTAGTCTGTGACATCAAAATGTTAGTCATGTAATTTTGAAATATTTTAATAAATTTTAATATTAACATTTTTTCATTAAATTCCTTTGTTTATAAGAGCAATATAAGATAAATTTAGTCAATAACCTTAGAATATTTTAAGAGAAACTGAAAGATGTTAAAAATAATTCTTATTTGTATTCTCTGCATCACAAGTCCAAAAATAACACATGCTCTCTTCATATCCATTGAGATTATTTGGCCCCTTTTTATTTTATAATCATATCGATAAAAGAAATATTCCTATCCTTGCGTAAGACGTCTTATCACATTTAAAACTGAAATATTTTCAGCATAAATAAGTCAAGTTTGAAAAACTTCGTGACAGTTCACACAATAAATATTCATTAAGAAAAATTCACAATTCACATAAGTCTTTAACACTCAAGGTAGTAAAAGAAATTTTCCTGCTTGCATTTTCTTCACATTGCAAGCGCAATATTCACGTAAATATAAAACTTCAAAGTTCCAAATATTCTTAAGTCTTTAAAATATCAATTTCCTTTTATAGCGTATTTCAGCGCTTATGTTTTTCAAACTTAACACTTTATTTTACATTTAGGTAGTCAAAAATTGACGTCATGTAATATGTTGCACAACCCAGTCCTTAAACTTTGATATCCTTGTGCAAACGCCGGGCATGTTCGGTTCTGCACAGCCAATACCCCATGAAATAATTCCAGCTAAAAACCAGTATCCTTCATCTGACTGTATTTGCAAAGGTCCGCCAGAATCTCCCTGCAAAAACAAATGATGTAAATTTAAGTGTCGCTAAACACATAAATGACATTATCTTCAGAAATAAATTTCTGATAAGTGTGACATTAAACTAGTTATATAACTGTTATGTACCTGGCATGAATCCCTTCCTCCTTCTTCAAAACCGGCACACATAAAGATGTCTGGGATATATTCATGCCTTCCTGCAGCTAGAAACATATTTTTGCATTTTTCGTTGCTGATTATTGGAACTTGAACCTCTTGCAGAATCGATGGTAAAACACCTCCTGTAAAATTTGATGCAGCATAATTTTTAACTTTTACCCAACAATTCTTTAACTTTCAATGTTTAAATCGTTCACAGTTTACAAATAGTAAGATCACAGCTTTGATTTTCAAATATTTTTGTAGTAAATGCCTCATTCGACGCCAAACTGCACATGACTTTTATGTTCGAGACCAGCTACCGAAATTTTTATTTCGATAAATGTTATCTGTAAACTCGCCTTCAAGTGCAGTGTAAAAGCTTTGCTAGTTATACTGACTTCATTTTGTAAATCAATTCTAATAAATCTTGAGGCTTATAGCAGAATGCTACAAGAATATTTCTGAAATCGTTTTTACCTTAATATGAAATATGTTTTTGAACTTTGTGCAAAATTTTCAATGTAGGAACAATTGTGCTTAACATGTTTTAACTTTTATGAGCTGTCCTCTAGTTGCAGCATTTAGTAAGAATTAAATTTGATTTTTATTATGAAACATGATGGCAAAAATGTTCAAGAGAAGTACCTTTAAGTATTATTTAATAACTATATTAAAATTTACTTTTATCTGCTTTTTATAAGCTTTTACCCACTTTAGTGTAAGTTATTTAGTGGTAGAAGTTCTATAACGAAATTCTTATTTTTGAGCTTTCATAAAAATGCAAGGGTAATTTTTTAAAATTTAGTTCTATTTAATGCACAGTGAACAAATCGGTTTAAATGAGATACCTTAACATTTGCCTTGTCTGAAGTATCTTTAATCTTGATATTAAATTTCGCATGGAACTGGGGGAATACTCTTGTATACATAATTTCGTAACCCGAGAAGCACTTATGCTAACTGATGATGCAATAGTGCTATAATCTTGTGTACTCAGACTCCTTATCGTATTAGGCAACCTCTAAATTACGTAAGCTGTTTAATCAGATATAGAGTGAGTATACAAAGTACAGTATCTAAATTCAAAATTGGAAATTGTAATTATCTACAAAATAAGTCGTTATTAATATTTTTACACAAAAGTTTTGGTTTGAATTTAACTAACAAAGACAACTACACGAAATGAATGAGCCAACGTTTTTCTTAGCCCATGTGCAAATTTTAGTTCGATTCCTAAAAGGTGGCATATGAAGTTTGTTACATAATTTTAGCTTGTATAAAAAAAATTTGAACGATTTTGAATTCGTTCTAAATACTTCGAAGAGAAGGAAGTCTAATTTATGTGACAGAAAGATAAATTTTTGAATCCGTCATCCATTTAGATAGCTAGAGACTGATCTACAGTGTAGTTAATACTTATGATTTAGAATGTCTATAGTAAGGCAGAAGTAACTAAACTACCTATAGTACCTATTAATAAGGTAGTTTAGAATGTCTATAAAGGCGAGAACTATAAAAATGTTTGTGCGATTTCAAGTACTATAAATGTATAAGTGGAAAATTATATTGATGATTGCACTTAACGCTGCAGTTAGATAATAATGAACGATTTTGCTATATGTTCATAAAATGCTCATTAACGCTGTTTCTAACATTTAGAATATTTTTTGTTCAAAATACTTCTGATATATATCATTTAAAGGAATTCAATATTCTGTCACATACAAATCAATACTTAAATTTGCTTTTTTACCTTCACTAAGTCTACCCCAACCAGTAACGGTAGCATTTTTTCCAACCAGACTTTCTTCGGATGGGGGCAAACATATAGGAGAAATATGTGGATACTTTTGTGAATCTATAGCTTCTTCCAGTTGAACTAAAGCCAGATCATTTTCATACGTGAAGAAATTGTAACGAGGATGAACTACTTTCTTCTTTGCTCCACGTTCTACGTATCCATGCGGTTCTTGAACGCTCGCAAAATCGTATTCTCCAACGCGTATCTTTATCTGCGATAGCAACAAACTGGAAGAAAACAAATAACAATACATTTCAAAAATTGTTTGCCAAGACTAGGATATAGTATGGTAATATTATCAAATTCAAATCTTACTATTAATGCACTTATAATTTCTGTTTACATTAATTCCGATCCAACAACAATAAAAAGAATCTCTTTCCAAGCCCCACCAGTGGCGAACTGGTTAAGGCCGCTGAATGCTGGTATTTGGACTCGGGCTCGAACCCAGGTGAAAGAGCTGTATCCATAAGCGTTTTTCGTCGAATCACTATGTATGTGCTGTCGAAGTAACTTGGCCTTAGTTGATTCTGCCAATAATTCAATTTTGAAAATTTTTTTTTTCATAAGACAACCATCTATTGAGTATCTTTTCTACCAATTACAATGCCCCATAATCAGTTAAGCAGCAAATAAACAAAAGACACGAGAGCCATCTTCTCGATATAAATCAACAAGCGTACTGTCTATAAATGTTAAAAGAAGGTATATTTAAGGGAAAAAGGCACTGCCCGCGGTCTGGTAAAATACAAAGCATTGCAAGCAACGCCTGGCAGGATCCCCTGTAAGTCCTGTGAGGTGTAATTTATCTGGATATCTAGTGTCGCTGGACAATACCCGTATTGCCAATGGTTAAACAATGGGTGTCTACCACATTTCTCCATATCCATAAAGGTGTCAATGGCAGGAAAATCGCGATGATGGGCATTTTGTCTCGGTATGGTCAAGATCTCTATGCAGCAGTGTATTCATATCGTTGTTGTTGTGTTGTAACTTCTCACTTGTCTGACAGTAACATCAGAACAAGCCCATGAAATTCATCGTGGCAAGCGGTGCAAGACAGCGCCTGTCATTGGCAACTGCCTCGAGCCACCATACAGGGGATAGTACGATTTTGCTCAGTTCCGCCCCCTGTTTTGATGGAGAGCACCCTGGGGGGGACGGGTACGAGGGTCTTCCACTCCTTTTTCGCTACAACAACCTCTCTAGAGGACTTTCGGCTCGCCGCATATTTAGAGTGCTCCCATAACGCACAGACACATTTACAAACACCTATGCCTTCTCCGGGACTCAAACCCAGGCCCTTAAGTACGGCACTCAGCGTCGCTAACCTTTATCCCATGTGGGCGGTCCATGTCGTTCTTCTTCACACTATATGAAATTCCAGCCACACTGGCATACTGAGTACAGCACATCTCAGCTATAACATTACTGCAGGACCATACCTTTCTATCTATTATAGCAAACCAGTCGATGTGGTATGTGTTCCTTTTCCTCATCCTCTATCCCCTTTCTCAGGGAAGAATTGCTACTGAGGAGGATTTTCGAAATAGGAATGGTTCGATTTATGCAGTTCATGTCATGAAAATGCTTAGTCCATTTATAGAGTTTCAAACCTCAATCGAACTATTATTGTTCAGCGGTCTTGTTCAAATGCCCACTGATGGGCCCTAGAAATTTCAAAGTATTGTTTTTAATGAAATTCATTTTATTACTTAAATATAAGTGAACATATTTACTATTGAATCTTTAAAATACACTATTGAATCCTCAAAAATTGCCTTTTATATAACAGCGAGGAAATATATAGTTTTAAGTTTCCAGAAAGCAGAGCATATAAGCCTTTAGTTGGTCAATCAATAAAGTTGAAGCTTTTGAATATACGAAGTCGCTCAACAGCTGCTCCTCATAGTAGGAGAATGTCTGAATAAAGGTGCTAAGATTGTAGTATGCAATAGTAAACTAAATTAAGTCTTTTTCAGAACATTTGGAACAAAAGTTTATCTTCCAAAACCCAATAGATCGAGTGTTTATGTATTTCTTTTATCACATATCATCAAACTTTCAAAATTGAATACGCACTACAAATTAACAATTTTCGACAGCGTAAGTGAATTTGAGTGGCTGAAAATCCCTGCGGATGCGGATGGTAGTACACAAATATTCAATCATGATTTGACTCTTGCAAAGTCTGCCAATTAGGAAATCGTTGAAGATGCCAACATTCGAAAGGGATTGAGGAGGCTCAATTAAATGCTAATACGAAGTGTTTATGATTTTTATGGTATAACTTTGGATGACATTCGTGTTTCTATGTTTTAAAGAAGACGAATGGGAGATAGTGAGCGTTAGCGCGCTGTCGGGCGCATTTAAGCATGACAGACAGTCAAATACGTCTCTTTTCTTTGGTGTCGGATTATTCGATAATTTCTCGAATGTGTAAACCATTCCAAACAAATTCAGCAGCTGTCTGTGAACGAGATATCAGCCTTTAAGGATCATCTCAGAAAATTAAAGAAATCTGAGTCTTTATCAGTCCAACCCCTACAGGCTGTAGTGCAGGTTACTTTGAGTAATTTTCTGAGATTATTTTATGTATTAAACTTTGTGTCTTTCTTGGTTCAGAAACAGGGTTATGCATTTTACTTCTGTAGCAACAACTCCCTGATGACGATGCAGTGGAAGATATAAATTGCTTGTTTTACTTTTTCATTTTTGGTTCTGGTATTTTTTTGCGCTTGTCATTTTGTTACTGCGCATCTGATTTTTTGCTCATGGTTCATTCCAAATTTAATACAGAATGGATTTTAAACTTATTTTAATTTATTTTCTAATATTACCACCACTTGTTGCTGCTTTCAGTGCGTAATTGGGTTAGGTTCTGAACTGCATTTTACTTTTTATTTATTCATTTATATAAATGTAATAGATCGGACGTAGTTTATGGCGTAGTAGCAACGAAGCAGAAACTTTCAGACGTGAGCGAATTTAATAATTTCCTTTCCATTCATGATTGATACATAATTTTCTTTAAGAAAACTCAGGTAAAATGGGCGTTACAGCGGCTCTTAGAGAACTTTCACATCGGTACTGACAAATGAAAAATATATTTTTGAAGACGGAAGGCAGCGGCGATTTGCAAGAGCGAAACGGAAGCCGAATGAGACGCATTCAGAAAATAGCGTATAAGAGAGCTGTAAAGTTTTAATTCTCAAAAGAAACCTTATTCATTGATTGGGTAAAAGGTATTTGCATTGTAGCGTTACGTATGATCTTATGATGCAGATTGATTTTCAAATGAAGCAGTTTAGATTGCTATATTAAAATGGTTACTAGATTTAGCACAGAAATGCGAAATACCTAAATTAAAATGAATGATAAAAGCGACTGTTTCCAGTTAAATTAGAAGTTTGCTTTCATATTTTTATCTTAACAGACACACACACACACACACATATATATTTATGTTATGAGGAAATGTACTCAGTATCTACCTTCTGAAGCATATTAAAGAAATACATACTCATCAACACAATGCCCAGCTGTTGCTACCCACTGTCGACTGATGAGAGCCCCTCCGCATCTGTGGGTACTAGAAAATCCAAAAAATGATGTTCTGCGTACTGATGCCTGCAAAAATTATAATGCATTAATTTTACCTCATAAACAAAAAGCAAAATATGGAAAATTGTGATTCACTAAAGACTTTCTACTACAGATTAAACTGCATAGAAAAATAATGTACTCACACCTAAACCAGGAAATAAATTCAGTTATTTATCGATTCTTAATCAAAGCTAATCAAAGCTTTTCAAAGCTCAACTATCAGAGCATTACACATATAACTAAATATTAAATGGATTTATTGCACAACACTATATACTAGTAGTACGTCAAATATTCTTGTCGATGAAAGTACTTACTACGAACATAAAATACACAGAAGTTACCTGTGAAGAAACAAAAACCCTAATTATCTAACAATGATAAAATTACGTAAGAAACTGCAAGCAATCTAATTTTTATGATACACACCATAACCCTCTAAATGCATTTTTCACTTACATTCTATCAATGATCTTTATTATTTTCAGAAACATAAAATGAGAGAGTATACAACAGGTTATTGAGAATGGCAATTACTAGGTAATACGTTAAAGAACTTATTTCTTTATTTTGTCTGTAATAGAAGAAGGACGTATTTATTAATATTAAGGCAAGAATGTGAGATCTCAAATAAGTTTCCTTTCATGTTCAAAATATAAACAGTAGATGCTACCATTAATTTACAATGTCTGAGTTGTTGTGTTAATTTATTTAGTTAATTACAAGTTTGGAGTGATAAAAATATTTATTATTTGAATGGGACGAAGCTTGTGAGGCCTGCCTAATGGATGCACTCATGAAAGATTTCTAAGATAAATTGCCTCGTACTAATGTTACACAAATTAATACTTAAAAGTCTCTTAAAATGCGGTGTGCTATGGAGAAATACATAATACAAGACTTTATTATTATTTTTATAACTACTACGCGTTTTCGTTTACTTTTGATATGCTATCTTTTCCTTTCCTGAGTAAATTATTACATCTGAAAGAGAAGCATCATTGTTGATTAATTTGTTTTCTCTAAAAGACGTGAAATAAGGGAAAAAAGGTGTCATTCATAAATTCAGAGCGTGAGTGTAAAAAATTAACTTACATTTTATCCTACATTAGGGTAAATCTGTAAATCGGATTATCTTATGACATTGCTATATAATATTGATCTGGTAAATGGGTAAATAAAAATTAAGTGAAACAATGGGCAGTTTAGAAAGAAGGCGTTAATTTAAGAAATTTATTTTCATAGCTTTAAACACTTAAAAATTTTTCTTGTTATTTGTTGTAAGCATATTAAGGCAAGAATTTTGTAGAAAATATCATCCCTGATATTTTCTGAAAAATGGTAGTTTATTTCATTGCGAGTGTTTCTTAGAATTTGGAAGCAAGACTCGTAGTAATTCGGCCCTCGAGTGCTTTGCCGTAACTGTTTAAACTAACACTTTTTAAGACAATAAACTTAATTACTAAATAATTATATCTGAGATTTCAGCTTAAATAATTTATATCATTATTTAAACATCTGTTTTTACTATATTAATTTTCAATATCGTCCGTCTAAACTTTTCTCGCCTCGGTTTTGTTGTATACTAGCAAAACGATCTTGACGCCAAGTATGCTTAACCTCTAGGTCGCGCCGCTATGAATACCAATGAATAGAGGTAAAAAGGTTGTTTCCAAATAGATCCCACATATAACACCCACCTAGCTAATAATACGTTTATTAATACCTCACTTTGATTTTTGTCTCTAAGGAAACTACATAACAGAGGCCACTGTTTATATCCGCAATACCAGTTTCGCGAATTTAAAAATAAAGACGGAATGCGGAAACTTTTGAAAGCGTTTAGAAAATCAACACGCACCCACTTGTTTACTTTGTCCACATCAAAAGCATTTCTGTGCTATCATAAAAATTCAGTACTTTGGTAATAGGAAATTCATTCCTCTGTCAGAAAGGGCAATTTAGAACTTTCTAATTATACACAATTAAATCATTCTTGATTAATGACTTACGTTTCCTTAAATAATATTATGCCATATTATTACGTGAGAAGATTCGAGACAACCGTTTGAAGAAATTATTTTAAGTAACAGGAAGGAAGTTTAATTTAAAATAGATTTCACATTCGGAACGTCAGGAGAAGACATTTTATAATCATAAGCCCTTTTTCATCCTGACGTCCAACAGTGGCCTGATGTTGTCAAACTGACACCGAACAGTGCCTAATGAATAATACAGTTGAGTAATGGTAGTACGATCCGTGTTCGAACCCGCAAATCGGGCTGCCTGGGTGAATCTTTTCGTAGTTTTCCCATGTGTAATCTGAAAATAATTAAGTTTATTTAAAAAAAATCCTTCACGAAGTCATCCTCCTATTACACATATAGTCCTAGCGTGTAAACGAACATACAGACGCATTTAATTAGTTCTGTTTAAACGAAACGTAATTATTAGCCATTGCTTGAATTATTAAAACAAAGTTGTTGAAAGTTAGTAAATGATTAATACTAAAATTAATTTACTATGATATATATTGGGAAAATTCACGAACAGTTACGGGGGAAGCGTGAAATATTCGTGGTCTAATACTTTACATTAATAATTTAGAGAATATTCAGTATTATTTTTAATTAACCATTCGGACATGTTTCTATTCCAGTTTGCTTGTTAGCTAAAAGTTTCTTACAACTGTCCTTCCATAATAAATTCGTTATTATTGCTAGAACATGAGGAGAAAAACTGTTTTTTTTGTTTCACTTTTTCTGTTACTTCACATCAAAATACGCTCTGCTAACTCAAGTTTTTTATTTTAATGGACATATTGAGTCATTAGGATTTTTTATGCAGGAGAGGTGAAAAATGCGCAATGCCCTGGCCGGGACTCGACCCTGGACTTCTCGAATACGCGCCGAATGTGCTACTCTTACACCACGAAGGCATGCTGGAAGTAGGGAGAAAATACCTTATAAACTGATTGATTATGACATGTGAGGGGCCTGCCAACGGCCGAACGGTAAAATTGCTGAACACTGGTAGTTCAGTCCAAGGTTCGAATCACGGCCAACGGGCTGGCTGCATGGGTATATTCGTGGTTTTTCTCATATTTAGCATGTATACGATCCACTTTCCCTTAGAAAATCCTCCACGAAGGCCTCGCTCCCCTTAGGCAGATAACCCTCGAGTGCTTTGCCGTAATTTAATAAATAAAAACCTATGACACGTGTGTCTGTCTTAGGAGGGATGCACTCGAGGATGACTTTCTACGAGAATATGGCTCTTAATCACACTATACAAGAAGAAAACCACAAAAACCATGCAGGCAGCCTGTTCACCCGGAACCGAACTCGGGGACGGAATTTACGGAAATTCGTACCTCGTTTAAAACTATTAATTTTATCAATTATTTTTTGGTAAACAATTACCTCTTTGGTTTCATTAATCTTAACACGTGACCAACGATTGACAGATTGGTTAAGACCGCTGAGCACTGGTAGCTCGACACGGTTCGGACCATGACGAGCGGGCTAGCTGTATGGGCATTTTCAGGAATTTCTCCATATGTAATGTGCTTATAAGCCAGTTTCGCTTAAAAACCTACATGAGTGCATCCCTTCCCTTACGCAGAGGAAGAACTTTCACCTTCTAAAAGCAAACAATATTTTTGAGAATATAAATAAACACCCATACTGAACATCCCTGAGAGATCGACCCCTTTTTGAGACTATCACCTTCACTAAAAACCAAAATACTTTGCAACCGTGGGGTCGCTACTACTGTAAATATGCGAGTAATTCGAAAAATTCCCCTTAATGCGTTAATTTTTTGCAGTAATATTATGCTTCCAAATGTTAATTATTTTACAAATATTTATCCTGAAAAGCAATCAATAAAACTTCTTACAAAAGGATTTTAATTTCTCTTATCGTAGCAAAAATTTTATCGTGATCGTTTTTAGAATAGATTTAAAGCAGTTGCCCCTTTTAGCAATTTTACGACAAAATACTGAACTGGCTTTTTTAATTATGGCAAGCACGTGAGGGCTGTCTTCCTAAAACGAGGGATGCCTTTGTACACGACTTTCTAAAAGAAATTGGCTAGTATCCACATTACACATTGGGCAAATCTACGAAAACGCTCATGCAAGTTGTCCCTTTGCCTGTAATCTAACGCAGGTGTCGAACTACCAGAGCTCAGCGACTTAACCATTCGGCCCTGGTGGGCTTGTTAAAGTACTCCGTTCTTTCAGAAACTTCTATAAGCGGGTATTTTAAAATTTAATTTAATAAAAAAAGTCTCTATTTACCTATAAAAACATTTCGGAGTTTCATTGATGTAACTATGTTCGTACCCTTTTTTTCTCTTCATTTTTTATAGACCTTTTTATGTTCCAGTCATTTAGGTAAACGCGTTCTTCATTAAGTGTCTCAATGCATTTTCATTCATCTTCTGCTAAATATTTCTCATGCAGGAAGCAACAAATTGTTCTGCTTAGCCATATGCATTGTCAAAAACTGATGAACATTATGTATTTTAGCTTTTTTTAAGTAGCATATCTTGATTTTTATTTTATGTATTGTTGCCATAGATTTAAAATTTTGTTTTTACTAATAAATTTGAGATTTTTTGTTATTTGTGCTTTTTATGCCGTCATTAGGTAAAACGCGTTCTATTAAGTGTATCAATGCATTTTCATTCATCTTCGAAATATTTCTCATGCGGAAGCAACAAATTGTTCTGCTTAGCATACATTGTCAAAAACTGAGAACAATGGCAGTTAGATTTAGCTTTTTTAAGGGTGATTTTGTTTTTAATTTGCCATAATTGAAAATTTAAAGATTTTTGGCGTTTGAGGTTTCTCCGTTTCCAAGGTTTAATAATGACTCTTGTTTTTTTTCCTGGCCAGTCGAATAATGATGGTTTTTTCCTTATGGCGCCAGGCATTTGGGGCGAAAAGCAAAAGGGGGCGCTTCGTTATCGTTTGTACTGGGCCGATTGGCGAAATTCAAATTGCGGTTTTCATGTGT